CCCCCCAAATTTTGTAATTTAAGCAACTCAATTTTGTGATTGGCCAGGCAGTTCTTTTGGTTCTGTCTACTCTAGTTGGTGATGGATGGCCTAGGATGGCCTCACTTATATATCAGGAGCCTCAGTTGGCATGGCTGGAACTTAGATATTTGGGATGTCCCACTCCACATGGTCTCTTGCCTCCCAAGAGCTACCCCAGGCTTGTCAAATTTGTGAATGGGTTTCCAGCAGTGAAGAAAGAAATTCCTACTGTACATAATCTTTTTAAAGACTCTGCTTGCATCACTTTTGCTAATATCCTATTGGCCAAAGCAAATGGCCAAATCTAGATTCAAGGGGGGTGAAGAAATAGACTTCACTTCTAGATGGAAGGATATTGTTGTTTTTTCCCCCTTCATTCTATCACACCATCCTTCCAGATATTGACAGCACCATGAAGATCTGTTGGAACTAGACAGAGAGGATTGGGATTAAAGGTACCTGAAAGCAATTACGCTCAGTGTTCTCACTGAAATCTTAGTAATAATGACATGGGGAAAGCGTTCCATTCTTTCTATCCTCCTCCTTCTACTATCACTTCTTTATGTACTTAAACACTTGCTTTTTAAACCAGGATCAGTGGGCCAATTCAGGGTAAACGGAACACCTAATTAATCCCTACTGCTATTAAGTGTTAATACACTTTCAGGCTTTGCCTTGGCCGTGGAAAGTGCATTTAGTTTACCTGCTTGGCAGGAGCATAGAGCTTACATGAAAGTGAGCCCTAATACATCTGCTGTCTGCTTTCTGCAAGGCAGCTTGGAATTTACACACTGATACTTATAATGATGGCTGTGAATTTTGAAACTGAGGCCACTGTACTTGGCTTATTGCACAGTGGTCCCTAGACCTTTCCAAAGGTAGCTGCTCATTTGCCAAATTCATCCTACTCAGATAATATAGCCCCAACTCTAAGTGAATTTCTTTTCATTACCCTGTTCTACTTTGAATCAGTTACTAATTTTTAATAATCCTTTAATCTTTAAAACTCTCTTAGTCTCTGTTATTCATATGAACAAAGAGAATTATATTTTTTACAGGATTTTGTGAAGATTAAATATGATGTCTATAAAGTGCTCAGTTTAGTGTGTGATACATAGAAAGTGCCTAATTAATTAAGCTGCTAACAGGGTACAGAATTTAATGGTTCTTCTTTGAGCCCTACTTCTTAGTATTGCCCACATTCATTTGGTAGAGCTGGCAAACAGATTCTCAGAGCAGCCAAGAGCCTGATGGAATCCTCCTGTATCAGTTCTATGAGGGGGATGACCCAGAGCCTCATCATCCTAGAAAGATGAGAGGTGATAAATGTCCCTCATTCAGAGTCTTTCATGAATTGTGAATATTTATTCTTCATATACAAAAGGGTATCTGTTAAATGATGTGAGGCAATTTAGAGGAACTCCCAGCTGGCCTCTCCAAAGATGGGAGCAATGGTGACATTGATTGAGATTTAAGTAGGTAACCAGTAGCTTTTCACTCACCTGTAACAGCCAGTCAGCAAATGCCTTATCCTGGACATGCAATTAGATGATGCAGCTTGTTGGAGAGGCCATGATCAATCTAATCAGTAATAGTTTCCTGAAGCAGTGTTTTATTTCCCCAGTTTTAACTGGAGTCATTATTCAAGGAACTAGAAAGGAACTTCCATCCCTGACAACATTTAACCACTCAGATACAAAACATGATATGTCTAAGTCTGCCTGTTATTTTCTTATATACATTAGAGTATTTAAACTCTGTGCCTTCTGTGCCTTCTGTGTTTTATGCCAGGGAGTTTGCATTATAATCTACAATGTAATTTTGTTTTAAGCTCCTTGAGGATAGGAGAGGGGAATGTATCTTTTTTCAATAAATATCTATTGACAAAACTGAATGAATTAGTCACGAATGGGGACAACTCTGTATCTCTAGTGCAGATACCCTACATAATTCATTTTATTTTAAAAAACTGCCATGAAAGTTTAATATTTAAAATCAGGGATACTACAACATAAATCATTTAATAGGCAGGTATTTTATATAGTGTTGAAATTTTATTCATTGGAAAAAATTTCATATTTTTCAGGTATTACATTGAAATCTTGCTGCAGGAGTATAGACTGAGTGCCTTTGTTGATGTTGGCTTGTACCAGTATAGAAATGTCTATACTGAGCAACAAACAGAAGATGCAGTAAATGAAGAACAAGTTATCAGATCCCAGTCGACAATTGTCCAGGAAATACAGGTTTGCTGTGATGATAGATCTGCTTTGTAGAAAGTTAACGTTCCAAGATAGCTATATTTGGTTATTAATTTTACTATGGAAGATACTACTTGAGGGGAAAGCAGTCATGGAAAATTATTGACTTGTGGTTAGAAGTATCTGTATTATAAATGAAAGAGGCTGTTATTTGATAAGACTGAAACTTTAAAATATTTTATCATTTGCAGTAAAATAGAGCAATAAAGAAGCATTGAATAATTGACTATCATGCTTTTTAAACGTGCTTTTCTATACAGTGAAGGTTTTTTTTTTTTTTTTTTAATTGGGAAATAGGTTATAACATTGGAAAACTGGGAAAGAACTACTGCAAGGAGTGAAGTTCAAAAGATAACAGTAACCAGCCCATGCGTGGAAGCTAATTCATGTTCCCACTACCATTATAGATTAATCTATAACATGGAAAAAACTGGTAAGTTGCAAATAATAAAGGAGATTTAATTTCTCTTCATTTATAGATGAAATTATAAAAATTTAGTCTAGTCTAGTTCTTTCTGGAAAATATTGTTTTAATAGTGTGCTAGACAAAGAAGCTAAAAATGTATTATGAAGAAAAACCTTTGGACTGGGATAAAAAATGGTATCAGTAAAAACAACTTCCTGGTATATACTATCATTTTCTTTTGTAATGATCACAATAAATGTATATCTAAGTGCATAGAAGGATTTTATGTATCTGTGACTCACAGGGATAAGTTAAGATAATAAGAATTAAATTCATCATTACAGAGAAGTAAATATTCCAATTCCTCAAAAAAAAAAGCTATGAGATACTAATTTATCTGTTAACAAAAACATTGCGTCTCTATATTTTATAATAAACCTGAAAATATAAGTTTTCTATTTCTGTTAATTGTTTCAATAAGTAAATATTAATGGGTGATTACTGTTTTCCAAATAGCTTATATAACAATAATAACAATAGTAATAACAATGCTTATTACCATGGGAATATTAAAACAATAAAATACGATCCTGATCTTTAGGAAATTACAATCCAATGAAGTAGTCACTATTATTGAACTCGAATTACTTTCAAAACACAATTTTATTAAATGATAATATATGATACAGACTACGGGTGCTTTAAAAATTCAAATATAAGACATCAGTGCTGGCTGTGGTTAGTGCAGAAAGATTGCAACTCTTCTTTTTTTTTTAAATTAAGGCCCCTAATCATTTGCCTTTTTATTTTTATTTTATTTTTTTAATTCATCCAAGTCTTGGTACCTGTTGATGCTTCTGACTTCATACTGCAATCAGCTTTAAATGACCTCTGGTCTATAAAACCAGATACAGTTCAAGTAATAAGAACACAAAACTCCCAAAGCTATGTTTACATGGTAACGTTTATATCAACTAGAGGTAAGCATGTATCTCATTTTGTACTTCTGTAAATTTTTCTCTAAGAAACAAATTTATATTCTCTAAAGCTGCACTGAAAAAATTAAAAACTCCATACTACGTGGCAATGAGAAAGAATGAAATATGGCCCTTTGTAGCAACGTGGATGGAACTGGAGAGTGTTATGCTAAGTGAAATAAGCCATACAGAGAAAGACAAATACCATATGTTTTTACTCTTATGTGGATCCTGAGAAACTTAACAGAAACCCATGGGGGAGGGGAAGGAAAAAAAAGAGGTTAGATTGGGAGAGAGAGTCAAAGCATAAGAGACTCTTAAAAACTGAGAACAAACTGAGGGTTGATGGGGGGTGGGAGGGAGAGGAGGGTAGGTGATGGGCATTGAAGAGGGCATCTTTTGGGATGAGTACTGGGTGTTGTATGGAAACTAATTTGACAATAAATTTCATATAATAAAAAATTAAAAAAAGTAAAAAAAAGTAAAAATTCCATAAAATGGCAGAGAAAGAAGTGGATTCGTAGCCTTGATCACTTTTAGGAGAAATAGAAAATAAATGGTCAATTTTTTTCTATTGTAATTAAAATTTTAGTCCTATTTCAAGGAATGTACAGCTTCAATGCATGAGAAACACTATATATACCATAAATGCACTATCTGTATAATAGGCTACTTCATATTTAGAAAAAATTAGCAAAGATATGAATTCTGGAAATGAGCTTTAAGTAGTTAGCATGTCTTGGGAGACACTAGTCTAACCAGATCTTGCCTGATGAAAGGATTCTGTGGTCAAATCCACATGGGAAACTGCATACCCCAGCTTATCCTTGAAGATTGACAGATCTCATTAGAATAATAAAATCCCTGAGAATTCCTACAGTGAGAAAAAAAAAACATACAAAAACAAAAACTGAAAGAAAACATTTCACCTGTGTTTAAGACAGCATTTACCAAAATTATTTTTACCTCTCTGTCCTTTTCAAGCAATAGCTATTAACTTCCTATTAATGTTTTGCATTTTCAAGTCTTAAAGTCAAGTTTAACGACCAAATTTAGTATTTGGGCTATCTAGTTCAAAAATAGGTCCCTGAATATGTATGTATTTACTTTTCTTTGGGCAATAATTATTTTCCAATTCATTGTTTATTTCTCATTTTATAAAATTGTTTAATTTGCTTGTTGGATGGAGGGCAAAGAATTTCATTTAACATGAATTGAAATTCTAAAAATTTCCCAAAGTTTAGATTGTCAAAAATGCTGTATAAATGAAGATATGGTGATCCTTGTTCTCCGAGGAATACATCTATAGTTCAGAGAGAAATTTTACAGCTTCAGCAGCCTTAAGAAATATAGTACCAAAATCATAAGTACCAAATCAAATTCTAGGACTCTACCCAACAGAGGTCAGTGGGTTTCCAATGGTGAAGCATCTTCCCAAAGCAGAGATAAATCTGAGGACAAGCCCTTATTTCTTTTAAAGTGAGATTGTATTAACAGGCCTCCCAGGCCTCGGGCTATTTCCTGGAATTCAGTTTTGTACGGTATTCATGTTTAAAGAAAATAGCAATATCCCAACCTAGCCCTCTATACTATGATAATGGTACTGGGACAAAACGAAAAGAAGTTTTGGAATATCCCACTGGTCGTTGATCTTTACCTCATGGTCCCAATACCTCCTTTTGTTTATCCCGTAACACTTTATTTTAAGCCATGGATATTGAACCTTAAGTGAATAGCACTTTATCTGTTATTTGCTGTTTCTGCTACGGCTAAATCTTTAGCTCAAATTCAAGGATCCACATCTTCCCCATTCATCCCCCCTTTTTTGTGATAATACAATAAAACCAATTTTGTTACTCATGGATATATTGGTATTTTATTAAATTAACATCTTCAAATCCTATTTGGTACTTCATCGCAGGAGACTTTGATCTGCTTGGTTATGAAATGATTGAAGGGAACAATGTCACCCTGGATATTACAGAACAAATCAAAGGAAAACCCAGTTTGGACACATTCACGCTAAACTGGGATGGAATCACTTCGAAGCCTCTGACCCCATGGTCATCAGAAGCTGAAGTATGCTCTTAGCTAATTTATTAAATAGAAAGCTATTTAAATATCACCTTTCTAGTAAAACAAAAGAAAACAAAATAAACCCCACACTTTAAGGAGCGGTAATACACTCATTTACTTGACATGGTGGGTTGGAGCCAACCCATAGAGAGTGGAGAAGGGAGGAAACATCACAGAGACACAGGGGATGAAAGGGGGGGTTCTTAGATCTGTGCCAACAGGATCCATTGTATCTCTGTGTGGGGCAGCTGTTTTTGTAGAAAGAATGTTTGCTTGGGAGTTATTGAATTTTGACAACTATCTACACAATGAGTTTAGGTTAATATTTGTTTGATGATTAACATCTTACTTTATCTCCTTAATTCTAAATGCTAATTATATCTGTGCTTTGCAAGAGAAGTAGATGTGGAAATTACAGGAAAACTTGTGAATAAATGTGTACCAATTCCTATATAATCCAAGATCATTTATTATTTTTAAAATAACCATCAATACAGTCTTATAGTATCTGAATCTCTTCTTTTGAAAAACAGAATACATTGTATATTTTGTATATTGTATTTGCATATTTTGAAAAACAGAATACAGTGTATAGTTTTTTCCAGTTAAATTTGAGCTAATGGGGAAAACTATTCACTTGGAACCTGTTTAATTGAGTGCTAATTCATTTAGGTTTGCCTCATTGCCCTCTTTAAAAAAAACTACTAAACAAGTGTGTCTACCTTACATAACAACAGTGTAAGCTAATGTTACCCAATTGGATGTAACTATTGTGATTCTAAAATAAAACTCTTGAAAAAGTCACTAGACACTAAAATTATTGCATATTAACTTAAAATTATTTAGGAAATGATCTCATAATGATGGCTGAAGTATGGGAATTATGCAAATGTTAAGTTATAACTAATTAGTGGAATGAGTAGTAATAGTATAATTGTTCTAAGTCTTCATGAAAAAGAAGTTACTAAAGCTCATATTTTTAATTTAGTTTCAGGCAGCCGTAGAAGAAATGGTTACTGCCAAGTGTCCACCGCAAATTGCAAATCTTGAAGAAGGATTTGTTGTGAAATACTTTAGAGATTATGAGTCTGATTTTAACCTGGTATGGAATGTAAATGAACAGTGAAACTGACCAAATAAGAATTCGTATAAATGCTTGGAATCTTGTGATTCTCTTTGGACTAACATTAATTCCTATTGTCAAATTGCAAAAATAATTTGTTACACATTTATTGGTAAGGTCTGCTTTATCATCTCCTTGCATTATAGTGTGATTCATTTGTGAAATTCACCACATATGAATTTTCTCGATCAAGGGAAAGTAAGAAAGATGATGGACAGTATAAGATCTATAGGGTGTTTTACTTGTTTTCTTTACTTGGACGCAGAGTATATCCTGTTTCCTCATTGGCTTCTGAGCATATAATTTGTAGTAGGGCTTCTCTTGATTTTTGAGATCACCCTCTGGTCAATTAGTAAAATACTTGTCCTTATTTCTCTCTTGGTGAGGTATAAGAACTTTTCTTTGATGTACAGTAAAGAAAATTTCAGAATACTCTTATCTTCCTAATTCTTATTTTGAAAATCCGAGGAAGCCAGATATTCACCATTTCCAAATGAATACCATAAGAATAAGGACTATATAGGCTAGTGATCTGGTTCAGATCAATACCTTAGAAATAAATATGAATCCTTAAAAATATTTATCACATGCTTTAAATCACATGTTTTAAATCTGTTTAAATGACCAGATTTATTAGTGAAAAAAAAAAGGAAAATCTTTCCATTTAATTGGCTCTCATTTCAAATTAATTTAATAAACATGCATGTACTTGGGTTCTCCTATCCTGAATGTAGTGCTAGCAGCCTTGGGAATTGCACAGTAATTTACACTATGCTCTTTCCTTTCTTCATTTCCCATCATCATCCTGGCACACATTCTTTGCTCTATCTTACTTTGATTATTTGCATTTCCCAGCACCATCTTCTTACATCCCTGCTGATTTCACTTATTTTACCCTCTCCCTGAAGCTCCTTAGTCCATCTTTCCTTTGAAATGAGTCTTGTTTATCTTTAAAGACAACTCATGTAGTGCTTCCTCTGAGTTATCTTTCTTGATGCTTTATATGTGAGTTAGAGGCCTCTCTTCAACCTCATAATTATATAATATATGTATAATACTTCAACATCAGTATTATAATCCTTATTTCCTTTGTCCCAAACTTCATGGGATAGGAAATACCCCATATAGGGATAGTGTTCTTCACCACTTGAACCTTGAAGATTCAACAAAAACCAAATTAACAAACAATAACCTGGCACATAGTGAACACTGAATGAATATTTGTGGAGGGGTGCCTGGGTAGATCAGTCGATTGAGCATCCGACTTCCGCTCAGGTCGTGATCTTGGGAGTTTGTGAGTGTGAGCCTTGCATTGGGCTCTCTGCTGTCAGCACAGAGCCTGCTTCAGATCCTCTGTCCCTGCCTTTCTTTCTGTACCTCCCTCCCTCACTCTCTCTTCGTCTCCCTCAAAATAAATTAACTTTATTTTTTTTTTAATTTTTTTTTCAACGTTTATTTATTTTTGGGACAGAGAGAGACAGAGCATGAACGGGGGAAGGGCAGAGAGAGAGGGAGACACAGAATCAGAAACAGCCCATCTGAGCCATCAGCCCAGAGCCCGACGCGGGGCTCGAACTCACGGACCGCGAGATCGTGACCTGGCTGAAGTCGGACGCTTAACCGACTGCGCCACCCAGGCGCCCCATAACTTTAAAAAAATTATAAAAAAATATTTGTGGAAGGAATGAATAAATATCCCTAAGAGTTCATGATATAAGGAGAAATATAAGATTTAGGAAATAGCCAAATACAGGTACAAGGGATTATATGATTATGGAGCCAAAGGAGTGATACAGGATGAGAGCATTAGACTTTCAAAGAAGAGAGAGAATATTTCAAGTTAAAGTGGTGTGGGAAGCAATGGATCCAAGTTGGAACTTGAACAAATTGGGTGGAGATGTGGGGGAATAAAGCAGGACAATAAGTCATGTTTTCATTTGAAATATTACTGTTTCTGTAGGAACATATTAACAGAGGGCAGAAGACAGCGGAAACTGATGCTTACTGTGGTCGTTATTCCCTGAAAAACCCAGCTGTTCTCTTTGACTCCACAGATGTTAAACCAAACAGACTACCATATGGAGACATTTTATTATTTCCTTATAATCAGGTGAACTCAACAAAATGATATGCTAATTTAATCTGTAAAATACCTTGATAATAAAATTTCCTGAAATATAAGACAGGGAAAACTGCTTGTCATGTGAAATCATGTCACATTAGACAGGTACTGTGGTTCACATTCTGGGGCCTTGTGATTTCCTCTTCTGTTGGTTTTCAAAAAAAAAAAAAAGAAAAAAATATGTAATATCACGCACACGTATTCTGCTCTATCTTATAATTTCAGAGAAAATTACTTGCACATGAATTTAAATATTAAAACAAAAGTGTATAATCTCCTCAATATATTTTATTTATTAAGAAGAAACAAAAATGGATAGCCATCATAGAGTGATCTTGGGTATCCAGTCAAGGAGAAGTGAAGGGAAAGCGTGAGTAGAGATGGGAGTTTTAGGATAGGTATTTAAGATTAGCAATCATAGTCTTGTTTACCCTTTCTCTGGTTTTAAAATTCTCAAGTTGTGATATACATCCTCAAGTTCTAAGTTCTAAATATATTTGGTATGCTTAAGATGTTGTAGACCATTAAGATTGGTATTTAACTACCATTTTACAGTGACATGCATCTTTACCTCTAAATGCTTAGCTGCATTCACATCCCAATTAATCTACTTCAGTGTTTATCTCCTCTTTGTGTGTTTGGGCTTTTACATCCACTGTAGAGTTCACTTAGAGCTGGATTTAAATTTTACATTGCTACATGACTAAAGGGAGGGAATTATTTTCATTTTTTAAGGAAACCATATCTAAGAAAACAATAAGGAATTAATCCTTAATTGTAAGGTCGTTCAACTCCACTTCCTCTTCTAGAAAATCTTTCACAATTCTTCTATACCTAATTGGCTGAAATTAATTATCCCTGTCTCTGTGTTCTGAAATATTTTGTATGGAAAATTATCAATATTTATTTACTGGATTAGGTTGAGTTAACTTGAATTGCTATAAAACAACTTAAAGCTAAGATATTATTACTGATTTCTTTTTTAATTTTCTGTGTAGTTATGTTTAGCATACAAAGGATTCCTCGCAAATTATATTGCTCTAAAATTCCAATACCAAGACAGAAGCAAGATTACTAGAAGCAATGATATACAATTTACCTATAACTTTACTAATGGAAACAAGTAAGTTACATTCTGTGAATGTAAATTGGAAGTTATAATACAGTATATAACCTGAACATAAAACAAACCCACTCTTTGTTAACTTTTTAAATTTTTTTCCACTTTTTGTTAGTTTGGGTTTTTTTGTTTTGTTTTTGAGAGAGTATGTATGCACACGAGCAGGAGAGGGGCAAAGAAAGAGAGGGAGAGAGTCTTAAGCAGGCTCCACACCCAACATGGAGCCTAACACAGGGGTCAATGTCACAACTATGAGGTTATGACTTGAGCCAAAAATCAAGATTTGGACGTTTAACTGACTGAGCCACCCAGATGCCCCACTTTTTGTTAGTTTTTGACAAATGCTGTGCAGCATAGATCTGACTGCCGTTTTCATGCCCTCTACATTAGCATCCTAACAGAAATAATTGTGGCAAAAATAAATAGATAGATTATGAAAATAAGAATTGGTCTAGTGTTATCATCACCCATGACCATTTGAAAGGTAAAACAATGGTAAACCTTACAATTTAAATCATGTATTATTAAATCTAATAATGTTCCCACTTACTGAAGGCAGGTAGAAAGAGACTCCTTTATCACAATATTGTCATTAAACTTTGATCACTGAAAACAAGGTGCTTTCTAGGTGTGAGCAGAGCAAATAAAATATTTCAATGAATATTTCAAAATTAATGGAGAAGAGACACTTTTTAATGCTTGGTTTGCCAAAAGTTAGACACAGAAATGCAAGCAGAGAAGTATAAGGGAAGAAGATAGATGTCTAAGAAAGCTATCTAATGACTATAATTGCCACACCCTCAAGCACAAGTTAGTTCTGCATAATTACGTTTTGTTTTTTATTATTATATCTTCTGAAATTTGTGTCAATCCACTTTTGTATTTCCACATAGAACACACATACAAATTTCACACACAATAGAGTCATAATGAAGACATACACATGCACATATACACCTTTTTTATTTGAAAACGTGTTCTCCAGGTACATTTTGCTATAAACATTCCCTGCATGCCTGAATTGAACAGATTAGATTGACAATTTTAGTTTTGGTGAGCATCACCTGCATGCGTTTGACTCATTCACTGTGACGAGATTTTGGAACATTTTACAGATCTTGGTTCTTTCATATTCGTCAAAGCATCACTCACCATATTGCTAAATAGGTCTTTCCTTTTAACCTGCAATTTATCTGCTGTAAAATACATTTGATAAGACTGATGGGCTTCCTTTACCCTAAATGCTATGATATCTTTAAACAAGAATGTCATGATTTTCAGAGGAATAGGGTTCACTGGGTAAAATTATTGCCAGTCAAGGCAAAGTAAACTCCCCTGCTCCTATTGTGTATTTCTAAATTTGCTTTGATTTAGGTTAGACAGGCCACCATCAAGTAGATGTGTTAGAGTTAGATTATTTTTAGTACAATGTTAGTGTTAGAAGTGCCATTGCCCCCCCCCCCAAGAATTATGGTATAACCTTTCCAAAACAGTGATTTTTGTAGCTATAAATCAGGTTTCAAAATCTGAAAAGTGAAATATGATTTTCTTTTAGAAAACACTGTTATCTAGGGATGCCTGCATGGCTCAGTCGGTTAAGCGTCAGACTTCTGCTCAGGTAATCTCACAGGTTGTGAATTCAAGCCCCGTGTCAGCTCAGAGCCTGGAGCCCACTTTGGATTCTGTGTCCTTCTCTCTCTTTGCCCCTCCCCCACTCATGCTCTGTCTCTCTGTCTCAAAAATAAATAAATGTTAAAGAAATAATAATAATAATAAAACACTGTTATGTAGCCACAAAGACAGTGTGCTGTTCACTTAAGTTTTGATGTCATTTGTAGTCTCTTTTTGTCTGATAAAGGGTCCGGTTCAGTATACTAAATTTTCTAAGTAGTAGTTTCTTAAACTTTAGAATTATATAATTAGGGTAGAATTCTACTGAGACCCTAAGTGGGTTTTTTTTTCACTTTTATTTAAAGAGCACTTTATCTTGCTGTAGTTCCACATATAGTTTTCTAAAAATATGTTAGTTTAAGCTAAGCTTTGAGGCACTGAGGTGGATCCCATGATGAATTTGGGAACCATGAAGGAAATTAAAATAGTAGGTGCTCAAACAAACTAGTCAGTTAATAATTACAGCAGTAGCTGATATAAAGATTATTGTTAAATTGTGTTTAGTTATTTTGATGGCAATATTTTTCTCTTTGTTGCAAACTCTCATAGCTGAATTGCTTAACTATAACTCATAGAATTCCAATGCAGTTAATATCGAGTGCAAAATCTGAATCTAAATTACACATTTAAGGGGTAATGTGCTTTACGTAAATCACTTACCACTTTTGTCTCCTATCAGGAGACAGTGCAACTCTAGGGAGCTCTTTTGGGAGTAATAACAAGTTCCAGTTTTGCTTCTTGGTATTGAACTGAATTTACTGTTCTATCCTTGACATTTTTTACTAAAATAGTTTACTTTATTCTTGTGTCTTGTTTTTATTTATATGCTTGCTGTACACCAAGGCACATACTCCTTAATTTCCTTACCTATCGCTACAGAATATTTCACCTTCCTGTGGCTATTGCCAAGGCTACAAATAAAAGAAAACCTATATTTACAGTATACAACATTAAGTCTGTTACTACCAGTTCAAATTTCTGTCTGCTGTTTCTTGTTATGGCTGCACCTCTGTGCTAATAAAGTGCGTTTAATGGTCTTCTTGTGGGAAAAAAAACCACTTTTACTCTTTAAGAATTTAGTGCTTTTTTATAGTGTATTGGTTTACATTAATTAACCATATTTCAGCTGGACCTACACTTGCATAGACCTTCTGGACCTCATACAAGCCAAATACACTGGGACAAATTTTTCTCTTCAGAGGATTGGTTTACAGAAGGCATCAGAATCACAGGTTTTCTATGTAGACACAGTATACATTGGACAGACATCTACAGTGTCCGCATGGGGTGGTATGTTGTATCATTTCATATCGATTCAAAACCTCTAAATCTATCTTGTAGAAAAATCTTTCCAGGGGAATTATTGTTTACTTTACACAGAAACATTAATCTCTAAATATTTGAGTCATTCTTTTATCTGAATATTATTATTTAAATAATATTATTTTTTATTCTAAGGATAAATGTACTCTTAATGAAAACTTTGTCATTATGGCAAGAATTAGTCTTTCTAGTCCTGGATTCTGTTTATATATATATAAACTGTGACAAATATTTTCATTTTGCTTTGTTTGATTTTTGAGAAACTAATCACAAAGATATGTGTTCCTAAAAGGCAGCTATTGACATTGGCATCTGTTTGGTAGGATTAAACTGAATATTTTCATGGACATCATGGTGATAATTAATAATACTATAAATGAAAAATTTATTTCTGGTAGTCTAAGCATTGTTTTATAGTCATGTCAGTAGACTCCTACATATGAGCTGTGATAATAAAATAATTACAATTAAACTGTGATCTTTAAAAAAATCAACCTAATTCTAAACAGTCACCTTTAACAGTGACTACTCACATTTTTCAGAGAAATTTTAAAATCCTTTCCTTTGGAACTACTTTCAAGTGCAACTAACCAGTTTAACAAACTGGTTAAAATTAAATGTACTACTTTAGAGTCACTTCTTTTGAATCTGCTCTCACCAGAATTTACATTCTAATTAGTGGAGCACATATATAAGACAGCTCACTTGGGCTCAGATGGATGTTGTAGTTCAACAGATAGCATGCATTTAGCACCTACCATGTGCCAGGCACTGTACTAGCTACTAGCTACTAAAGAAATTGCTGTGGACAAGACAGCCCGAGTCCTGTCCTCATGGAGTGCACGTCTTAGCACTACATTCACGAACCTAGGACAGAGCAGAACTAACAGGCCCACAGAAGGCTGCATGAAACCCAGGGTTTGGTGGCTTTTAAATATTTTCTTTTACCTGATAAAGCTCATATTTTGACAGACTTTAAAGCTTTATATTCTAGAAGTAAAAGTTTGCCAAGCTCCAAAAACTACTTGTCTTAAGATCTTCTTTCTAAAATTTGATTCTAAACAGCTATTCCTATTCCATGACATGGATATTATTTGATGATTTTCTTTTTTAGCAGCAGAAGCTATGAAATTTTATTTTCCATTTATTCCATGTTCTTTAGAAATCCCAAAGAGAAGACTTCCAGCATTAGCAAATAAAGGGATATTTTTAAAGAACTTTCAGGTGAATCAGACCAAAATTAATGGATCAAGTATTACCAACCAATATTCTGTCACCATGACTTCATATAATTGCAGTTATAATATACCCATGATGGCTGTGAGCTTTGCACAGGTAAGCTCAGAATTTTGCAACTTACTGTTTTCAATTTATGGAAAATTAGCTTTGATCTAATAACCTTTTAAAAAAATTTTTACAAATGGCTGACATTCAGATGGAATATCTTTTAATAGGACAAGATAAGCATATAGCATCTGACATTCAGATGGAATATCTTTTAATAGGACAAGATAAGCTTATTCTAAGCATAAATGAAGAGTTAGAGGCTTGTTAGACTTGAGCATGAAAATTCACTTTAAGCATTAAGAAAGTCTTTAAGAAATATGTCTATGGGAAAAAACAAGGGGAAACTGTCTTAAGAAACAGATTTAACTAGAATTTTCTTTGTTGACTTAAAAGGAAATGCTATGGGCTCTTTCAGTAAAAGTTTTGAACAGAGATTGTTGAAAGAAAATTTGAAATTCTGCAATATGTTCTTAAATGTTTCTGTTAGAAACACCACTTTTTGCTTGTATCAAAATTGGTACTGGGAGGAAAAAGATAGGTTTCCAGAATTCCAAAAGGACCTGAATAATTTTTGTACTGCTTGCGTTATTTATAATAAGATCAGTATTAAATACTATAAATGTAAGTATTTTAAAATGTAATGTCCTCCAAAACTATCCAAGGAATTAATATAATTTTCCACAGTGAATCAAAAACAAGTATAATAAGCTCTAGATTGGAGTTAAATAGTAATTAAATATTTTTGTGAAAGTCTCAAAGAGTGTTTTGCTTAATGATAGTCTGATTCTGTGATTAAAAATACAAGAAAACTCTTAAGTATTCCACAAAAGTTGCTTTACCCTATGCTGGTGCAATGTTGTAATCTTAGTATCTTCAAGATGAAATGTCTTGTAAATACGTTTCAGTCGTTTACTCTTAGCTGCACAACAGAATGTAGTATCAGGGGTTTGTGTTGTTAAATAATCAGTGACATCAGCTCCCATTTTTCAAGATTCCTCATTAAAATTGGTAATTGTATCCTCTAGCTTTTGTTATTCAGTCAAAGTCAAATTAAGGAATATGGGACATATGTTTGTGACCTTTTTAAAAAAATTCCAGTGAAAGATACACGCAGTAATGTGCACATCTGTTAAATGTTATTTGTATTGATAAATAATCCAGTATGTGCTCTTTTGCGTCTAGCTGCTTCTGTTTGATATTATGAGATTTGTGTGTTGCATGTAGCTGTAGTTCATTCTTTGTCATTGCTTTACCGTATTCCGTGGTGTGAATATACCACAATTTAACCATCCTGTTGATGGGCTTTTGTCTTATTTCCAGTTTGGGGCTATTATGAATAAAGCTGCTGTGAACTTATGTCTTTTGGCAATTATGTTTACTCTTTTCTGTGGGCAGTGAGGCTTAAAGTTTTAAATTCCACAAGATTCACAGACAACCGTGAGGGATCTGAAGCAGGAAGATGTTATCATTTTCACTAGTACAATCACTGTGTATGAATTTTTATAGCATGTGTTGCTTTTGTCAATTGATTGGCACTCAACGTTAGGCAGGTTTTTCTTGAGTCTGGATCAGAATCTGTGCTGATTATATACTTCGGTATATTGTTAGTTTTCTAGTCCCCATATGTTATTTCTCCAAAGAGATTTTCAGTTTTTTGATAGCAAAGACTTCATCTTATGTTTCCTTGCCTCCCGACAGTGATTAGCACTGTACCTTGAATGGGATGCCTGTTCAATAAATATTTGTTCGTTGAGTGATGGAGGGTACACTCTGAATTAATGAGGTATTACTAAGGTTCCAGCTGATTGCTGCACAGATGACTGAGTTGACTTTGGCCTCATTATTGCAGCTTTGTAGGTATGGCCTGTGTTGATTTATGTGACTCTCCTTAATGTTCTGAGGAATCCTGAATACCTGAGGCTCATTTATGTCATGTCACAGGATTGTACGATGGTGAAATAGAAATCATGTTAGCTGTTGTTATGTTTAATCATTTTATCAATATTTATTTTGGAAATTAGATAATCACAAATGAGACGGAGAATGAGTCTGTTTACAGAGGAAATAATTGGCCAGGGGAGTCAAAGATTCGTATTCAGAGAATTCAAGCCGCGTCTCCACCTTTAAGTGGCAGCTTTGACATTCAAGCTTATGGACACATTCTCAAAGGTATATGACAAAAGTTCAGAACGGTTGGACAATGCCAATCTAGGCAGCCATAATAAAAATTTTGGTGTATTTCTTTCTAATATGATTTCCCTACATAATTTATATCCTTGAGATTATGTTAGTGACATAAAGCTAAATTATCCAGAACAAATTATATTTTCACTTTTTCTTTATTGCCTCACCAGATATACCAGGTTACATTCCCAAAAGTTTGTTTTTCTTTTATGTCCCCAGCTTATAGGTTCTCTATAAAGTTAATCAATAATCAAAAATAAAAGTTTTTGAGCCAGAGCTATCATCTGAGGTACGTTACTCATGTAATTTTTGCTTCCAAGAGATTCATAAATTCTTGGCCTAAATAAGACACAAATTATTTTTACTATATTGGAGGAGGACAGTTGGCTTACAATATGTAGCACACACTTCATGGATTTTAAGGGTCAAATCGGTTTGTATATTTTTGACCCCTGCTATTTGCTGTCCCTCTGTTGAATGCAGGCCTTCCCGCCACTGTGTCGGCTGCAGATTTACAGTTTGCTCTCCAGAGTGTGGAAGAAGTGGGACGAGTCTCAGTAACACGGGAGGGAACGTGTGCTGGATACTCATGGAACATCCAGTGGAGAAGCACACGTGGAAGGCAGAATCTTCTACAGGTTCCCTCCTCTGGCTTGGCTTTTGTTTGTTTGTTTGTTTGTTTTCCATGTGTTGCTGGCTTATTGCACCTTGCCTCATTTTTTTTAAAGAATTGGAGACTGTCTATATTTAAAAAATGCAAACTATAGACTAAACATTAAAAAAAGAGAAATTGAGGGAAGATTGTTCTAAGTTAAGTTGATTCGATGTTCTCGTTCATGGAGAATTGCTGTAGGTACTTTATTTGCTGTCCCCTCTGGAAAGAGACCAGGGATATGTGTTAGAAGACCCTTGATAGGGGCAGGAGGAGCCCAGGCAGGGCTTATAGGTTATCCTGTGTACCCCCAGGTAGTTCCTGTGGTAAGCTGTTATCTAATTACCTTTGCTTAGTTAGAGTGTGAAGGGGGTCAGAGGAGAGGAGCTGGACCCAGAGTATGTGAAGGAGAGGAATCTAGAGGAGTCTGGGGGCTCAGACTGTCAAAAACATTAAAAAGATGATGCTTTTGAGTGATAGTAAGAGTGTGAGGGAGGAAACGGTCTCTCTCGTGCACTATTGGAGAGAAAGTTGATTCGTATGATCATTTTAGGAGATTATTTAGTAGAATCTGAATATAGATACCCTCTGATTTAGCAATCTCAGCTATATAACTGTATAATACTGAAATAATAACACAAATATGAAATGATGTAGGCACAAAAGTAGTCACTGTGATAGTATTTGTAATAGTAAAAACCTAGCGACCTGGCCCCATCAAGAGAAGAATGGTTGTTAAAATGACACAACATTAGCCTGAATACTATGAAGCCATATATAATGTAGACCCACGTGTATTCACCCGGAAAGGTGTCCATGACAGAAGGTGGAAGAAAATACAGAATTCTACTTATGGGACCATTTTGAGAAAAGAAAAAAAAATGAGGAGAGAGGGGAAAGAGGAGACCAAAAAAAAAACACCCGTATATAAATGTAACATATGATGTACCTTACATAGACTATGGGTGTGCAGAATAGTAACAGTCATAAAGATATGGAGGTAATTTAAGAAAACACATGGTCTGGAACTAGAATTAGCAGATTCTGTAGCTGAGTGGCTCTAGTGACTGGTCTTCCTCTTGGTATCTCTGCTGATGTCTGTGCATTTACCCCCTTGTCTCTTTTCTGACCAGTCCTTCCCTGCTTGCTCATCATTTCTGCTTCTTATCACCACTTTAGCACACACAGGGCCCAGCGTGGAGACTCCTGTCTCTTTGCTAGCCACTGTATATATGAGAAGGCTGGCATATTGGCAGAGGGATTTTGAAATAACCAAGTTGTATGTATTGATTTGATTTTATTCATTTTTATCATTGGCAAAAAATATAATTCCACAAATGGATGAAAAACCAGGATAATCAGGGGTGAAAAATGCTGAAGGGGAAAAGTTGACTCTCAGGTGGAAAGAGGTATAACTCATTCAACTATTCAAAAATCATTTATCAGAATGGTCACATTTAGGACAATCATATAACATTTTGAGAAAATAAAATTTAGTAAATTGATTTTCCTTAGACATGCTTTATTCTAACAATTCAGGTTGATTTTAGTCATTCAGTTCAACTTGTAATTGATGTAATATATTATAATGCAGTCATGTTAGCCCTTTTGGGGGGGGGTAGATTATGTTCACTTTGGAAGAGGCTCCTTTTTCAAAAAATGTGACTAAAGTGCTTTTTTGAATGATTTTTTTCATCTTTGACTTTTATTCACTTTCAACCTTGCTTAATTAAAAAAAACTAGTACAGTCATATTTATCATAGCCTTTCTAGTAAAATAATTTTGTGTAAAAATAGATTAATGATTCCAATATTATTGGAGAAAAAGCTAATATGACAGTTACGAAGATAAAAGATGGTGGCTTATTCAGACGGCACATACTTGGAGACCTACTTCGTACACCCAACCAACAGCCACAGGTATTTCTGAAACCTTTCTCATGACCTGTAACATAATTTTAAATATGTACCAAGTTTGTAATACATTAAAGACCTGTTGAAACAGCAGGAATGATGTCTTTATTTTCATCTGAATATTAACTCAATAATATTATTATGACTTTTGGGAAAATTACCTTCCTTATGATAAAAGTGTGGATTTCTAAGCTTGACCACTACCTGTTAGAATTTGAAAATATGCTTTTTAATTTAATCTTTAGTTATTCTGTGAAGTAATTATTAACATTCCTACTTTAATGATGAGGAAATTAATATGTAATGAATGTAGGTGACTTTCACAAGAGCATCCTTTATTGTCCTTCATAGCACTAATCACTGCTAGGGCGTAATATGCACTTACTTCTTTTTCTTTATGCTTATTTATTTATTTTGAGAGAGAGAGAGAGAGAGACTGAGAAGGGAAAACACATGTATGTGTGCACAAGCACAGGAGGGGCAGAGAAAGAGGGAGAGAGAATCCCAGGCAGGCTCTGTGCTGTCAGCGCAGAGCCCAATGTGGGGGCTCCATTGCACAAACCAGTAGATCATGACCTGAGCTGAAATCAAAAGTCAGACACTTAACTGACTTAGCCACCCAGGCACCTTGCATTTACTTAAAAAAAAATTTATAGTGCGACTCTCTGTCTCCCCCCCGCCACTAGAATATAAATTGAGTGACAGCAGGGATGTTGTGTTTAATGTTGTCTTAATGCATTTTAACACTTAGAACTGTGCCTTTGCATACGAGGCACATGTGCTGAATGAATGGTCAAAGCAGAGAGTATCAATAGACTAATTTTTGAAAACAAACAAGCAAACAAACAAAACCCCATCATTTGTTTAAATCTTATGTATATTCTCCATAGCTGTGCTACCCGTTCTCCATTTCTGTGTTTAATTATTTGAAGGTTGAAGTCTATGTCAACGGAGGTCCAGCTAAGTGTTCAGGTGACTGTGGGTTTACGTGGGATTTCATGGCGACTCCAGTAGTCCGGGCCATAAACCCATCTCAAGGTAATCTCCGCTTTTTAACTTGGAGTAGAGTGTGGAAGACGAGTAGCAAAAGTGTGAACTAATAATGATTTTTAAATATACTGGTTTCACCACCTCAGGCATGCAGACATTGCTACATAGTTTTAAAAAAAATCTATCAGAAAGCTGTGGAAAGAGCATTAATTACTTACTTTTGAAAAACAAATCACACTTGAAGTTGGACTCGCCAGTCTACTTCTCTAGTTTCACCACGTTAGAGTCGGGTCTCTAAAATTTCACTCTGACGAGGCATTTTTGTGAAATTCTGCTTGCTAGGGTATTAACAGGAATCTTTCGTCAGATGAGACCACTTTTAGGAGATTTAGTACTAAAAAGCTGGTAATGAGACAGCTGCTGTTGAGTAAAAGAAAATAATTAGGTCCTAGACTTGAGAATTAGAGGAAAACACATTGCCAAGAACTCAGTCTTGGATGACACATTGTACCATATCTTCATATTATGTAATTACTTTAAAAACGTGATTACTCTTTGTGTCTGAACTCCCCAGCACGAAAGTAAACAGCAGGGGCTAAAGATTGCAAGGAGTGGCTTTTCTTTTCAGTCAGAATGCTAAACTCAGATGGTATAATCACAGATTTAATCTTGGTAGCTAGTAGGAAAATTCATCTGCTAATTATATATCACCAAAAAAAAAAAAAAAAGAAAGAAAATTTAAAAAATAACTCATGTTTGTGTTGAAAGAATATGTTCTTCAGACTTCTTTACAGTAATGATATTACTTTGGGATAATCCATATTACATGGGATCAAAACTATCAAGTATAAAAATTTGATGAACTTTAATTTGGTTGTGGTCCCTTGATATTTATATTTTTACATCTATCCTTGTATCTTATAATGAATTTCCACTTTTATATGTACTTCCTGAAAAAAACTGTTTCTTACTCAAAATAATTAACAATCTAAATTGCTTTTTTGACATATTTTGATAAAATTTTAAAATAATGAAAAGATAAGTATAAATAATGCTGTAAAAGACACCTATCTTCTCTTCACTGAAAATTAATGCAGTTAACAGTTTGTCATATTTACTTCCTATTATCAATTTAAGAAAGAAAATTTTATAGGAACAGCTAAAGTCCTCTTGAAACACAATCTCTGGTTCTAGTCCCTAAAGATCTCCCCAGAGGCAGTCACAATAATTAATTTTGTGTGTATTCTTCCATGCCATTGTTAATACCTTTTGTAAAGAACACACACACATAAGGTAATTTTAGTGTTTTTAAGCTTGTGAAAGAGATGTTAAAATGTAAACATCAGAGAAATTACGCTGTAAATATTATTTGCATCTGACTTTTGTCATTCAGCATTCCTTTTGAGAAATATATATATATGTTTTTATGCATAGCTAATTTGTCATTTAAAAATACTTCATGAATATACCAACTTATTTTTGTCTCTGTTGATGGACAACTAGATTGTTTACAAACTTTTGTTTTTACATATAATTGCATTGAGCTTTGTTGTACAAATCTCCTAAGGTGTACATGCTAGAGCTTATTTAGGGTACATGCCCAGAGATAGAATTGCTGGATAATAATTGAGTATGTGTGTATTCAGCTTATTAGATGGCCAAATTTCTCTCCAACATGCCTGTACTTCCAGCATATGTGAGAGCACTGTATTCCTCACATTGATGTCAATACTTAGATTATCAGCCTCCTAATTCTGGTCAATCTGATGGGTGAAAGAAATTGTCTCATCATTGTTTTAATTTGTCTTTTCTCTGATGAGTAATGCATGTAAGAATCTTCTTATTGGTTCTTGGACATTTAGAGTATTTCTTCTGCAAATTGCTTGTTAACAACCTTTATTTATCAGATTGTCTTTTTTCTACTGACTTGTAGCTGTGTATTTCATATTATGTTTACTGATCCTCTAGCACATCTTCTCCCAGTATGTCACCTGCACGTTGTTTTAGTATCTTGTTTATGGGAACAGTCAAATCACTGATTTATTCCAGTTTATTTATCTTTTCCTTTATGGTTAACCATGACTTTTCAATGTTATTTAAGAAAACCATCTGTACATTAAAGTTAAGATGTTTGATTATGTTTTCTTCTAAAATTCAAGAGGTTGACAGTTTTCATTCTTAGCTATTAAAATCCATGTGGAATCCATCTTGTATGTGATGTTATATAAGTAGGGTGACTATACCACTTATCGCCCAAATCTGGACACACTTTTTTTTTTATAATATGTGACGTTTATTGTCAAATTGGTTTCCATACAACACCCAGTGCTCATCCCAAAAGATGCCCTCTTCAATACCCATCACCCACCCCCCATCAACCCTCAGTTTGTTCTCAGTTTTTAAGAGTCTCTTATGCTTTGGCTCTCTCCTACTCTAACCTCTTTTTCTTTTTCCTTCCCCTCCCCCATGAGTTTCTGTTAAATTTCTCAGGATCCACATAAGAGTGAAAACATATGGTATCTGTCTTTCTCTGTATGGCTTATTTCACTTAGCATAACAGTCTCCAGTTCCATCCACGTTGCTACAAAGGGCCATATTTCATTCTTTCTCATTGCCATGCAGTACTCCATTGTGTATATAAACCACAATTTCTTTATCCATTCATCAGTTGATGGACATGTAGGCTCTTTCCATAATTTGGCTATTGTTGAGAGTGCTGCTATAAACATTGGGGTACAAGTGCCCCTATGCATCAGTACTCCTGTATCCCTTGGGTAAATTCCTAACAGTCATAGGGTCGGTCTATTTTTAAGTTTTTTGAGGAACCTCCACACTGTTTTCCAGAGCAGCTGTACCAGTTTGCATTCCCACCAACAGTGCAAGAGGGTTCCCGTTTCTCCACATCCTCTCCAGCATCTATAGTTGGACACTCTTAAGAATGAATGGAAAAAACAGTTATGAGTAAAATGCTGAGACAGAGGGTGTACCCTGGGAATATCTCAGCCACTTGAGGATGCATATTACCCCAGACAGAGGAAGCTTATTTTATCACAAGTGGAAAGTGCCCACAAGTATTGTGCAGTTCATCTTTTTTCTCATGAATTTGTGATGGCAGTTCTGTCATACGATAAGGTATCATGCAGGGATGCCTGTTTAATTTGTCATAACGATAATTTTCCTTATATCATTCCATACTTCAGACAGATATTCTGCTGGTAATCTCTATCAACACAGATTTAAAATATGAACAAAATATAGAGCAATTCAATGGGAAAAAATGTACCATTGGTAAATATGTGTCTGTTTTCCCTGCTTATTTACCAGCTTATTGTTTATAGCCTTTAGATGAAAATAGGCTTATTTGTCTCTGCAAAACATTTGACTTCATAACAACAGATTCTTTGTTTTTTTTCTTTTTCATATTGTTATTTAAATTGATCATTTTCAGGATCCTTTGAAGAAAGCACAATTCTAACCATAGTAGGCTCTGGATTTTCCCCCAGTTCAGCTGTATTGGTCTCTGTTGGACCAGTGGGTTGCTCTCTTCTTTCTGTGGATGGTAGGTCCTTTGTAAAATTATTATTATTACATTTAATTGTTTTTCTCATAAGAGAAAGTAGAGTCAAAGAGCAGTATTAAAATAGTCCTTCTGTAGAGTACCTCTGGGGACATGAAATTGGCAAACTTCTCTGGATAAATGCATTATGGTTTTTTTTTAAATTTTTTAAATGTTTATTTATTTTTGAGAGAGAGACAGAGTGTGAGCAGGGGAGGAGCAGAGAGAGAGGGAGGCCGAAGCAGAATCTGAAGCAGGCTCCAGTCTCTGAGTTGTCAGCACAGAGCCCAATGTGGGGCTCAAACCCAGGAACCACAAGATCTTACCTGAGCTGAAGTTGGACGCTTAGCCAACACACCCAGGCACCCCAAATGCATTATCTTTTTAATCTTTGGTTATGACCACAAACTAGTTCTTTCAGTGTTGGACAGTGTGTTTTATCCCTTAACTGTTGATTTTTGTTCTTTTTCCTGTATAAAGTGATTATATAAAAGCTTTCCTTCTTGAGGTGCCTGGGCGGCTAAGTCAGTTGAGCGTCTAACTTTTGATATTGGCTCAGGTCACGAACCCAGGGTCGTGGGAGCCGCATGTTGGGCCCTGTGCTGAGCGTGGAGTCTGCTTAAGATTCTGTCTCTCAATCTCTCTCTCTTTCTCTCTCTCTCTCTCTCTTTTCCTCTGACCCTCCCCTACTCACATGCACATAAGTGCACAAACTCTCTCAAATTTAAAAAAAAAAAAAAAAAAGCTTTTTTTGGTGTGTCTCTGGGACACAAAAATATAAGAGACACCACTCTGGTATTCGATGGTGCCCATGCTTTGACAGTGTCACATTAATAATCAGCAAAGAGACATGGTAATCCTCCCTGAGTTCGAGTCCAACAAAATCTCTATCCGTTAACATAAAATTTCAAGATTATTCACATTTTTTACTCTTGAAAAAGTGAGAGCCATGATTGTGTATTTCCCTAAATATTACCTTTCATAATTAATCCTAGGTGTTTTCCTTAATTTTAATAGGATTATATAAGCAAATGTATCTTTCATATAATTTGTTTTTAATTCAGATACTCTATGCATTCTTGAGATCTAAGTCAGTAATGCATCTGTATTACAAATGTGCATATATTCTTCTGAATGAAGTGTGAAGGATAGATTTTCATTTAGTTTTTGATCACCTTTCTTGATGAAACCTGATATTTTACTTAACATAAATCACATATTGGACCAACAATTTTAGAATTATTGATATAAATGATTTTACAGCTTAGGATTTTAAAATTACTAGTACAATAATCCCCTCCCACTTTTGGGGGGCCACAGTAGAAATCAGGAGTAAATTGTTCACTTTGCTTTTATTATTATTTCACCTACCTTTTTCTAACAGTGTCTGAGTCATAACATCAGATAGTTTGTAAAAACTTTCGCCCCATTCGTATATGAGTAGTTTTCCTCAGATATATTTCTTGATATATAAAAATGAAGCCCACTATTTATATTTGCAAATGTAAACTTTCAGTAATTTTATCTTACAAAAACATTTGTTTTATCATGTTTTTCTTTTGTTTCACAAGAAAATGAGATCAAGTGCCGGATTCTGAATGGCAGTGCTGGACATTTCCCAGTTGCTGTGTCCATAGCTGATGTTGGACTAGCACGGAACATACAGGGTGAAGTACTCTACTTCATTTATCAGAATCAGATCTCACACATCTGGCCTGCTTCTGGGAGCCTGGCAGGTAATAGTTAATTGTTCTAAACAAAGAAAATTGCATACATTTCCATCATTTCGTTGTACTGTTTCTAGAACAGGGTGGAGGGAGAGGAACCCAAAGCCCCCTCATATAGAACAAAGGAGACTCCCCTTTTGGAAAGCACAGTAATTAAATGGCTGACTAATTCTTTTGTTTCTTATGAAGCACAAGTCAGGGTGACTGCTTATAGTTACATCTTAGGTTATTGAATTAATATCATCAATTATTACATGTTTCTATAACAAGCTCATCAATTATGTCAAGATAAGATTTATTAGTTATTATTCTGCTCACCAGCTGCTCCATTTGTAACCACAGTCTCAATGGAGCTACTTGACCCAGAAAAAGTTCCAGGAACAAATCGGGGAAAGGAAGCCTAACACAGAAGATGAAAAAAAAATAACACATTTTTCCTGTCCTGCTTCATTTCCCTTAGTTTGGGATTTTTGCCTTGGTCTTGATCCTTTTGGTGTGTTTTGTGTTTTTATTTCACTTTATTTTATTTTTATTTTGTTGGGATTATTTCTGAGTTTCCCTTTTACTTAGTGATAATAAAATTTGGGATTTGGTAAGAGTCTTAGTTGAGTTTAATTTCATTGAGAGTCTTAATTCACTTTCAGAACACAAAATGGTTGAACATATAAAACCAGCATAATTTCTCTTTAGGATGAAGAAGACACTATAGAAAATAGCAGTTGATAGTAATGCCCCAAAACAGATGTTGGTTTGCAAATCTGTTATTTCATTAAATCACTTAGCCTAGTTTCCTTTATGGTTCCGGACTTCAGAGCTCAGGCTGTACTATGTGGCAGTGATTACACACACCGAGTCTAGTCCTTGATCTATTTGACGACCCATCCATTGGATGATAAGAAAATTCTTGAAGGATGAGTTAGATTCTTGCCAAAGTTTACTTTTGGTATTGTTGACCTGTTATTGTTGTTGTCATTTCCTTATGAAGGTGGTACTCTTTTGACTCTGTCTGGATTTGGTTTTAATGAAAATTCAAAGGTGTTAGTTGGAAATGAAACCTGCAATGTGATTGAAGGGGATTTGAATAAGATAACCTGCAGAACACCAAAAGTAAGACATCTGATTTTAGTTGTTTTTTTTTTTTTTTTTTTTTTCTGAAAACTAATGAATTAAGGGACATCTCAGGAGAAGTTTAAACAAGGGACATATTTACTTAGGAACTGCAGCATTATAGTAACGTTCCTTCACAATTATTTCTTCAACATCTTTCTGCTAAGATCCAAATAGGAAGTATTATATCCACATTCTAGATACCTAACATTTAGAAAGACAGACATAGAAACCAATACTAAACAGTGTGTTCTATTTGAAATAATAGAAGTAGAAACAAACTGGGGGTGCCTGGGTGGCTCAGTCCGTTAAGCGTCCGACTTCGGCTTACAGTTTGTGTGCTCAAGTCCCACATCAGGCTCTGTGCTGACAGCTCAGAGCCTGGAGCCTGCTTCAGATTCTGTGTCTCCATCTCTCTGGCCCTCCCCAACTTGCACTCTGTCTGTCTCTCAAAAATGAATAAATGTCAAAAAAAAATTTTTTTTAAAGAAGTAAAACAAAGTAAAAATAAAATAGAGTGAGGAGAGGCTGTCAGAAGAGTTTCACAGAAAAATAGATGGCCTATCAGAGCTTGAAGGATGAAAGAGAGTTGATCAGGTAAATCTAAGTATGAAAGAACCTTAGCACTAACAGTCTAAAAAAATTCAGAGAAGCAAATCTTTTGGTTTTTTTTAAGGACTATATGTTTTAAATGTGTTAAAGTTTCAGTTTGTTGATAATAAATAAATACATAAATCTAATACCAAAAAAACACCCCCATGTGAAGTTCCTTGTGGAATATTGCATCTTAGCACTAAATTGTTGTTCTTTCTCTTAAAAAATAGTGTTTAAATTTAAACCAAGACTCTTGTTTGTTTATTATGTGCACAAAGATGCTGGATACGGTAATTAACATTAAAAAAATTTAGCAGACTAAGTGGGGGTATTATGTAGTTGAAATCTATAGGAAGAGTAAATTAGAGCATGTGTTGGACCGAATGATGATGAGAATCTGGAGGATAGGGTAAGTGAAAACATTGTTTAGATTTTGTGTTTCAGCTAAAGGCTGAGTGCGCATTAAGCAAATACTACGTGCTGGAAAAACTGTTTTTCCTAATTGGGAAATCTGTAGGTCCTCTATCAGTGAGAACACCAAACGTTTTTCTTAGGGGTCCAAGTATTCGTCTTGGATTGTGAATCCAAGTCAGCAAAAGATATAATAATGTGATTTGTCAATGAAGAGGAATAGATTACATGAGTGTATTTTAAGAGCAAAATGTCAAAACTTTTAGTATCTTATGCTTTATTAATTTAAAAGAGTCACTTGTCCAGAGCATCCTAACTATATTGCAGAGCCCTTAGGAATCCAGTAATATAGATACATTTAAGTTGGTCATAACCTCCCTCAAAACCAGTACATTATGTACCTTTATCTAAAACATTAAAACACATAGCCTGCATTTGACGCCACAGCTTTCTAAATATCTGAAAATTGATTCTGATTCACAACTTTGAAACAAAACATCTTCAGCAGTTTATTTTGAATGGTTCTAGTTGTTTTTAGCCACCAGATTTCTTCATCTCAACATTGAATATTTTCTAATTTTTTTTCTTCTTATTTCAGAGAACTGAGGGTACAGTTGATATTTCAGTTATTACCAATGGAGTTCAAGCCTCAGCAAAGGATGCGTATAGTTATAACTGTTTGCAGACCCCGGTTATAACTGATTTTAGTCCAAAAGTACGAACAATACTAGGTAAGGAAAATTCTAATGAGATCAGTCATTTGACATGTGCATGACATGTATATGTAAGATGCATGTTTGTAAGATATATATACATACGTCATCACACATACATATACATCACGTATATAAATGTAAACTATTTCTAGAAAGGTTTTTGAAGTATAGTTTCTCCTGCAATTTTTTTTATTGTTTATTTGTTTTTGAGAGAGAGAGGGAAATCAAGCACACATGGGGGTGGGGTAGAGAGAGGGGGATACAGAGGATCCAAAGAAGACTCTGTGCTGACAGCAAAGAGCCCAATGCAGGGCTCGAACTCAGGAACTGCAAGATCATGACCTCAGCTGAAGTCGGACACTTAGCCAACCGACTGGGCCACCCAGTTCTTTCTTAAAGCAAAACCAGCCACAAGTTCTATTAGTCTATTTATTATTTCACTTTGAACATGTGTGATAAGGAGAAAAATATTAAGTTTTTTAGAAAGTACTTTGCCATCTTTTTTTTCCTCTGTGAAACAATTAGATATGAATTTTATCTCCATATGGCAGATATCAATTCTTGCACTGATTTTTCTTTTGCCTCTGCAAGCGTTAGGATTTCCTAAATCTGATGAAAGATAAGAAATGAGTTCATTTACTTAATATGCAAATTTTATGCCACATAATAAGTGGAATCTTCTTCTAAAACTTCTATTCTCTTTTAAAATAATAGGAGAAGTTAATTTAACAGTTAAGGGTTATAACTTTGGCAATGAACTCGCACAAAACGTGGAGGTGTATGTTGGAGGAAGACCCTGCCAGATTTTTCACTGGAATTTCACAGATATTAGATGTCTTTTGCCCAAGTTGTCTCCTGGAAAACATGATATCTATGTAGAAGTCAGAAACTGGGGTTTTGCATCAACAAGGTATAGTAATGACCATAAACTCATGGGGTTGTGGGACACATGGGGCTAACAGCTTTGGGATAAGAAAAGAAGTAGCCGTTCATCTTCTAATATTTGCAGTTGCTTTCTTCACCCATCTGTATCTCCTTTTGCAAAAGATTCTGAAAATATAAAGTGCAATACGTGCTTAGTTTTGAGAACGATTCAGATTATGTTGTAGGATTCTCTGTAGAACTAGATCTGTGTATATATCACATATTTTCATTCATTCTGGAAATACTTACCAAGCAGTTAGTTACTTGTTCAGTGCTGAATTCACCGTGCAGAATAAGAGGGACATGTCCTCTGCCATTAATAATACCCACAATTTTGTTGGGGAGGCAGATTTCAAACACATTACATCAATAACTTAATTATAAGTATGAAAGAGGCTATGAATAAGAGGTTGCAGGTCTGTAAGAGCATATAGTAGAGAGCACTGACTTTTCCTGAGGGACAGGAAAGCATTCTCTAGAAGGTGACAATTAAGCCAAGAAATGGGTAGGAGCTGGCCATCTGAAGGAGAGGATGGAGAGAATCTTTCTCCAGCTTTTTCCTGTAGGTAACTTCTCACTATTTTCTTCCTGGAAGCTGTTTGTTAAAATTTTGAAGTAAAATTTCAGTGCTGGCCTAAGGAAAGTACTGGTTTAGATACTTAGAAAAAGAGAAAACTAAAATTTAGGAATTAAGAAAAAAGCAGGTAAAGCTGAAGTCAGAATAGGAGGAGAGATTATCGCAGCAGAATCTTGAGGTGAAGGAAGATGAGCAAGAGCAACCACGAACGAACCCCAGAACTACATCCCCCCCTTTGATTAACAGGGCAGCTGGTTTGTGCTTTTGGCGTGATGGAGATAATGAATAGAATTGATAGCATACAAAGCTGGGTGTTTCACTGGCAGTTTAAGAAATACCAATCCAGGGGCACCTGGATGGCTCAGTGGGTTGAGCATCCCACTCTTGATTTCAGCTCAAGTCATGATCCCAGGGTCGCGGGATTGAGCCCCGTGTTGGCCTCTGCACTGGGCATGGACCTGCTTAAGATTCTTTTTCTTGCCCTTTGCGCCTCTCCCCCCACCTCTTCCTCAAATAAAAAAATAAAAATAAAAAAATAAATAGCAATTCAGTTGCATAGAGGAAGTGAAATAAAAGTGAATACAAAGACTCATTTCACTTATGGTGAGAGCTAGGATGTAGGAGTCTACTTCTATGTATCAGGTCAGAACAGCATGACCTCCTCGGAGACACATCGTCTGTAACAACGCAAAACAAATTTAAAACTCTCATTGAAATAGTGGGAAGGGAGATCATGACAAGTTTCCAACATATATAGAATAATAAATTCAAATTAGTTGCATACAACTTTTATTTCTTTTTTAAAATTTTTTTATATGTTTAATTTTTGAGAGAGAGAGAGCATGAGCAGGAGAGGGGCAGAGAGAGAGGAGACAGAATATGAAGCAGGCACTGTGCTGACAGCTCAGAGCCCGACATAGGGCTCAAACCCACGAATGGTGAGATCATGACCTGAGCCAAAGTCAATGCTTAACCAATTGAACCACTCAGGAGCCCTATTTCTTAAATGAAATGTATGGAATTTCATTTCTATACTCTTACAGATCATGAGTGCTGCCTTTATGTTTTACTGTAATGAATATGTAAAATATTTTAAAGAATATCATATATTTCTTGTGACCTCAGTTCTCATAACCATATTTATTTCACAATATTTTAAGTTCCTCCATCTGAAATTATTCTGCCATGGGATTTTCAGAAAACTAATTTTCATTGTTAGGGAAAAACTATTATTATATACATTATGATTATATATATAGTATGTTGTTACATGTTATATGATTATATTATTATTATATATATACACACATACATACAAACCATCCAACCAAATTAAAGCCATGATAATTATCAGATTATCTAGTTTGAAAAAGTAATGTCTAATTAAATATTCGACTTCTTCCTCCTTTGAAATGAGTCATATTCTAATAAGAGCTTAGCAACAGGACGCCATGGAAAAGTCACTGAAACATCTACCAATTTTTCTTTTGCAGAGATAAGTTAAATGCTTCTATACAGTATATTTTGGAAGTGACCACCATGTTTCCACAGAGAGGCTCTTTATATGGTGGAACTGAAGTCACTATTATGGGCGTGGGGTTCAGCACAGTACCGACTGAGAACACTGTGCTCTTAGGTAAGAGTTTCATCCTCACCAAAGAGCGTTATCCCTTTTTCTCACTGTAAAGGATGTGCTTATAGGTGCTGAGTTATTACACAAATACTGTTCAATCATGGAAACATTATTTTTCTATTAGTGTATAAAAAGTTAAGTGTGGTTAAGGTAGTAAAGAGAAATTGAGTAACTTTTTTAATTTTAATAAATAATTTACATTTGATGCATATAAAACACTTTAAAAAGCTAAGGTCTCTGTTGTAAAAACAATCAGTACACAAACATGATAACTATCAGAAAAATATCAGAGATCCTGCTACATAATGTGGAGTTTTTGTGGCGCCTTTACTGTTTACTACTTATACTTCATTTCTATATTTTACAAAAAATATTTGAGAAAAAATTTCCCCCATCTTTTTTCTTTCTAGGGTCCTTCCATTGCAGTGTGATTTCATCATCAGAAAATGTCATAAAATGTATTCTTCATTCAACAGGGAATACATTTAGGATTACCAACAGTGGAGAAGATTCAGGTATCAGCCAACATTTGTATATTGTAAATAATGGAAGCACTTTACCCTGATATTGATTTTATTTTCATTTATTTAATACTTCAAAGTATTCAGAGAATAAATATTGCTATTTCTTTCTATAATTGGTCAGTAATTTGTCTATACTTTATCTCTTTGACATAGGGGGCTACATATAGAATGAGCCAGTGGTAGACTTGAGTCTAAAACGCTAGACTACAATTGCCAAGATGAGGAATCACCATTCGATTTTATTGCAGTCCCAAACCTACTGAGTGTCTGTTGTTTGTTATTGGTCATAGGTCCCTAACTAAATATTCAAATTGACGTTATATAGATTTTCACATGCCTCTATGCCTGAGAAAATTATGTTTAAAAAATTGACCATAGCTTTAAAAAAATATTCCATGTGACATTTCTGAACAACTTGTTATTGACTTTCTGATTTTTTTCAAACTGTTTCTTGATCATCAGTTTTGGAGGTGAGTGGCTTATTTTTTTCCTTAGCTTCTCATGATCATACTTTCCATTATTTCTGTTTATTTTTGTTACATGTTTAAATTATGCACATAAAAAATTTAGGATGTTAGCCTAAAAGAGTTTTTTGCTAGTAGCTGTACAAAAATGCAATATTTGCAAAGATAATTATTGAGAATTTTTACTCCTTTTCCTTTTTTCTTTTAAAAATGTGTCTCAATTCTTGCTCCTAGTACATGGATTAGGTTATGCCTGGTCACCATCAGTCTTAAATGTATCTGTGGGAGACACAGTGACATGGCATTGGCAAACACATCCATTTCTCAGGGGAATAGGATACAGGGTTTTCTCTGTATCCAGTCCTGGAAGTGTAATTTATGATGGCAAAGGATTTATGAATGGAAGAGAAAAATCTGCATCAGGTATGTTTCCACTTTGTTGAATTTTGTGTTATGTTTCTTTTTCCTAGATATAATAAAAGGATATTGTTTATATTTAAAATACTTTTGTATAAATAATATGTATAAATACACAAATGATTTATTTGACATTGTATTGCTATAGTAAAAATATTAAAAATTTATAAACCTATTATAAGTGAATGTAAGCAATGTATTTTGTATATCAGAGATGATTTCTGATATCAGAAATGTCTTTCTTCATTCTGGAATAACCAACCAATTGAAAAAGTATTGCGATAAGCAAAATACAAAGAAAACTGGAGTATGTTTTAATCACACCAAACTAGTAGCAAGTAACAAACTTCTGTTGATTGGAATCAGCTTTAAAATCAGTATTTCTCCTAGAACAACTCAGTGTAAAGTGTACTGTTATATATATATATATATATATATATATAATCACTTTGAACTTTTGCTCATGAACACAAAGTATTGTTTATTTTTCACTGTATGTTGAGTTTTTCTTTAAAATTTGGTAAGTTATGCCATACTTAATGTGGTTTTCTAGAAAAATTAATGCTGGCTCTTGTCTTCCTGGAATGTAATTTCATTATACAAGATGGTTCTTTTATAACCAGTGAATCATTTTTTTACTACTTCCTGTTGAAATGTCATGTGCATGAAAAATAATAAACCTGTCATCTGCATGTGTGTTTGAATGATCATTTGAAATTTCTTTTTGAGGATGCATTAATTGCTTGTATTTATTACATACAATCTTATTTTATGGCAGGTTCATTTTCTTACCAATTTACTTCACCTGGAATCCATTATTATAGCAGTGGGTATGTTGATGAGTCTCGCTCTATTTTTCTCCAAGGAGTCATTAATGTTTTACCAGCTGAAACCAGGCACATTCCCCTGCACCTGTTTGTGGGTAGCACTGAAGCTACATACGCTCCAGGTAAGAGGGTTAAAGATGGAAACTCTGTTACTCCAGTGACCGAGGGTGTATGTGACCTTTCTGGAGGAGGAGGCTGATGACTAGGTCTAACACTGCTCTGTCTCTGACCAACCACACGACCTTGAATAAATCTGGACTGTTCTAAGACTGGAATTTGTTCTATAAAATGAGGCCCATGTTAATGTTGTCCTACCATTCTCCCAGAATCCTTGTGTGCCTCAAATGAGATGTAGTGTGAAGAAGTTCTGACACTCTGAGGGCACCTGGATGGCTCAGTTGGTTGAGTGTTGGCTCATGTCATGATCCCAGAGTCAAAGTCTCCAGCCCTGCATTGGGTTTCACACTGAGTATGGAGCCTGCTTGAGATTCACTCTCTCTCTTTCTCTCTCTCTCTCTCTCTCTCTGTCTCCCTCCCTCTGTCCGTCTGCCCCAGTCATGCTCTCTCTTTCTCTCTCTCTCTCTCTAATAAAAAAAAAAAAATGGGCCACCTGAGTGCCTCAGTCGGTTAAGCATCCAACTCTTGATTTCGGCTCAGGTCATGATCTAATAGTTTGTGGTTCCAGCTCCATGTCAGGCTCCGTGCTGATAGTGCAGAGTCTTCTTGGGTTCCCTCTCTCTCTCTTTTCTCTCTCTCTCTGCCTCTCTGCCACCCACCCCCACTCACACTTTCTCTCTCAAAATAAATAAACTTAAATAAAAAATAAGGTTCTGACCCTCTGTATGTGCCCCAAAATATATTAAGATGTGAAATGATGTTATTGTTTTATTTTCCCTATAGAATCTGGCTTTAGAAACATTGAAAAGGAAATTATTTTTATATTCACGTTTCTCTCTTTACTGCACCATCTTTGTCCAGGTCTTTATTTTAACTTTGTATTGCCTGAGCCCGTCTTATCATTAAAACAAAAGAAAAGAAAAAGTTTTAATGGAATATAAGCCACCACCATTAAAATAAAGAGTAATGCATTCTGAGAATGGTTCTTGTTTTAGAATATTTATACATGACTTACGGGTAGTTCTTTTTATCTAAAGGACCTGTGAGTTTGCACTTGGGAAGCTCTGGGACAGACTGTCTAGCAACAGAACCCCAGTGTGGCCTGAACAATACTGGGGTTAAAAATTCAGATAGATTGGGCTTTGAGCTTTCAAGTTGTTTTTCACCATCTATAAGCAACATTAGTCCATCTGCTGGAACACTACATGAATTGATAACAATTACTGGATGTGGCTTCAGTAATCTCACATGTGCTAATAAGGTAAGAATATAATGATCTCCTTTTTACTACTGTGTACTCAGTAAAAGGAAAATGTTTCATCCATAACCTCATAACATAATTCCTAACAGCTTTATTGCAATATAATTCATATACCATACAATTCACCCATTGAAAGTGCATAATTCAATAGCTTTTAGTATATTCACAGAATTGTGTATCCATCCCCACACTCAATTTTAGAACATTTTACCTTAACCCTTAGACATTATCCCCAACCTCTCCAACCCTTCTAGCCCCAAACAACCATTATTTATTTTCTGTCTTTATGAATTTCCCTATTCTCGACCTTTCTTATAAATAATTGAATAATGTATAAATAATAGAATGATAATAATGATAAAATAGAATGTATAAATAATAATGTGGTCATTTGTGACCAGCTTAATTTACTTAGTGTAATGTTTTCAAGGTTCTTCAGTGTTATATACTATGTTTATCAGTGCTTCATTCCTTTTTATGGCTGAATAATATCCCATTATATAGTATACACATTGTATTTATCCATTTATCATTTATGGGCATTTAGATTGTTTTCACCTTTTTGGCTATTATGAATAATGTAGCTATGACCATTCATGTATGGTCATAGTTTTAAGATTGATCCGAGAGATGCTTTAATCAGCCCCCTAAATCAGTTTTATGAGGAAAAAAGTTTGCACATGATTAAATTTTTAAAATTCAGTTGCTGTTAATATAAAATTTAAGTTCACTCCAGAGTAATGTATTGACTTGTTTCCATATTCATCTTACTTTCAGGTTACGATTGGTAGCTACCCCTGTATTGTAGAAGAAAGTAGTGATAATTCCATTATTTGTCATATCGACCCTCAAAACTCAATGGACGTTGGCATCAGGGAAATTGTCACATTAACTGTCTACAACCTGGGCACTGCTCTCAACACGCTGTCCAGTGAATCTGATGGGCGTTTTGTACTTTTGCCAAACATCGACATGGTGCTGCCAAATGCAGGATCAACTAGCGGAATGACCAGAGTGACCATAAAAGGCTCTGGATTTGCGGTTTCTTCTGCAGGTGCAGAAGTCTTTATGGGTCATTTGCCATGTAAAGTTCTGTCTGTAAATTACACAGCCATTGAGTGTGAAACATCTCCCGCTCCCCAACAGCTGGTGAAAGTGGATCTTCTAATACATGGAGTGCCTGCCCAGTGTCAGGGGAACTGCAGCTTTTCATACTCAGAAAGTATCACTGCTTTCATAACGAGAATCCTCCCAAACTCCATCAAAGGACCTGGAGAAGTTCTTATTGAAGGAGACGGTTTTGGCACTGCCTTGGAAGACATTGCTGTTTTCATTGGAAACCAACAGGTCAGAGCAATAGATGTTAATGACAATAACATCACCGTGCTGGTGAGTCCTCTCCCAGCTGGACTTCATCCTCTTAGTGTTGTGGTGGGAAGTAAAGGTGTGGCTCTGGGGAACCTTACTGTTAGCAGCCCAGCAGTTGCATCTGTCACACCCACTTCTGGAAGCATTGCTGGTGGAACTCCTTTGGTGATCACAGGAAATGGCTTCTATCCAGGCAACACCACAGTCACTGTTGGGGATGAACCTTGTGAAATTATTTCTGTCAACTCCAGTGAAGTCTCCTGCAGTACCCCGGCAGGGATGGTTGGGAGGGTCGATGTGAAGATCTCCGTTAATACAGTTGCTTATCCACCTCTGTCATTTACATACACCTTGGAGGATACTCCGCTTCTCAGAGAAATTGATCCAAGGACAGGTACTCCAATGCCTTCCTTTTATTGTCTTGATATGATATTATCAGTAATATTTACTAGTGTAGAAATGGAATAATGTTTATCTGTGATTATTAAGATGTGTTCTTAGACAATCCACTTAACTCAATTAATACATGGGATTTGAGTTCTGTGTAGTTTCCATTTTGTGATTATTTTTTGCACATTCTTATGATGAAATTTTTAGTCAAATTCCAACTTCTATTTTGAAACAAAATCCCCATTAACATGACCTGAATTTCAAAATGAGGAAGAAATAGATGGGTATCTATGAGTTGAATTGATAATTTATGTCATTAATGCTGGTATGGCACAGGAAACAACTGTTAAAATTCAGGGGTAGGTGATCTTACTAAACATTGAGACTTTTTCTATGTATCTTGTTTCCATGAAGCTACAATTGAATACTAACTTATTAACTCAACAGAGTTCTTTTTAAGAAGGTAATTGGCCCATTCAGATGGAAAAAATATTATGAAATAAGATTTGCATAATGATTTAGCATAACTCATTTTTCTAAGCTAAGAATAGATTGAGATGTCTTCTTAATTTTTTTTGTCATTATTCTATGCTGTTTCTGATAATCTTCAAGGTGTTGGAATGCTTATCATCTACATAATGAATTCTGGAGAGGCAGCTATAGTGTAAAGGTGAGAACATGGCCTTGATGCCTAGGTTCAAATCTTGGTTCTTCTAATTTATAATAATACAACTTCGGACAATTTTTTTTTAAATATTAGTTTTCTTATACATGCAAGTACCTACCTGATAAGGTTAAATATCATTCATAAAATGTAACTTAGAATGGCAACTTTAATAAGAAAATAATTAAATGTTAGCCTTAAAAATTTTTTTTTTACCTTTATTTATTTTTGAGAGACAGAGACAGAGCGTGAGCAGGGGAGGGGCAGAGAGAGAGGGAGACACAGAATCTGAAGCAGGCTCCAGGCTCTGGGTTGTCAGCACAGAGCGCGACGCAGGGCTCAAACTCACAAACCGCGAGATCATGACCTGAGCTGAAGTTGGACGCTCAACTGACTGAGCCGCCCAGGCACCCCTAAATGTTACCCTTTTAAAAGGCTATTTAAAAATAATCTTTTTAAGTTTGTATTACCAGAAAATGTGCCAGGTTTGGGTAAGATGTATTCTCTCCCTTCAAGCAGTTTGCTAGTGAAATTTTCTTTGATACATTAAGTTTTCTCATTTAGGAATTTTTTTTTAAAGCGAACATTAATATAGCAATAACATACATTTCCCCATGTATTTGTAATCATTGCAAATGATGAATTGGATATTGGCATGTGTTTGTATTTCTGTGAGCCATTTCTGTTCCATCTTTTTGCCTGAATGTATCCTTCTTTAAAAAAAAAAAAAAAAGGTTTATTTAGGGACACCTGCGGGGCTCAGTCGGTTGAGTCTGACTTTGGCTCAGGTCATGATCTCATGGTTCATGAATTGAAGCCCTGCATCAGACTCTCTGTGGTCAGTGCACAGCCTGCTTTGAATCCTCTGTCTCTCTCTCTCTCTCTCTGCCCCTCCCCCAGTTGTGCTCTCTCAAAAATAAATAAAACATAAAATAAAAATTAAAAAATTAAAAATAAAGTTTATTTATTGATTTTGAGAGAGAGAGAGAGAGAGAGAAGGAGAGAGGCAGAGAGAGAGGGAGAGAGAGAATCCCAAGCAGCACAGGGCTCAAACTCTTGGAACCTTGAGATCATGACCTGAGTCAAAATCAAGAGTCAGACTCTTAACATACTGAGCCACCCAGACACCCCTGAATGTCTCTTTCAAGCAATGTATTTGAAGTTATGGAACTTGCAGACAAGTGAGAACTGAGCTGCTTTATTTACCAAAGAGATAGGCAATAGATCAAACTTAGAACAACACTTCCATTTGATAGGTGAAAATGCTAGACAAAATTAAAAATTTAAGACTAAAAAATCATTTTGTTGGCTTGTATCTTAAAACTATTCCTAACATGAAAGATCTTATTAATTTCTGTGGTCTTTAAAATGACCATTTAAATGTCAGTGGTCTTTACTATGGTCAGTTATATGGCCATTTTTACCATTACTACTTGAATTAAAATCAGCCTACTATTTGATGACTCTATGTGTAACAAGTTATGTTGGTTAATATCTATTCACTTATTCTTTAAATATGAAGGCATTCATTTGGATGAACTATGAAAAATTCCATGTGTTTAATGCCCTTAATGCATTTTTGTGAAAAGGAAGAAGGATTGAAGTACTTTGTTCTATGTGCATTTATTCAAGGCATTAACATTCATCTATAATTCTTAAAATTAATTCCTTGTTTCTGTATTTACTATCTTACCTATCATAATTTGTTTATCAAGTATATATATTAAAAATATTTAAATTAAGAAAAATAATCCATCCTCAAAAGAGTTGCCAATATCAGGAAAGTACTAAAAATAAAAAATTCTAATCCTCATTCATAAAATATACTCCAACTCACCACCCCTGCTCAGACATTCATACTTTTTTTTTATTTTGAGAGAGAGAAAGAGAGAGAGAGAGAGAGAGAGAGAGAGAGAAAGCATGATCAGGGGAGGGACAGAGAGAAAGGGAGAGAGAGAGAATTCCAAGCAGGTTCCACACTGTCAGTGCAAAGCCTGACGTGGTTCTTGAATCCATGAAACACAAGATCATGGCCTAAGCCGAAATCAAGAGTCAGACACTTAACCCACTGAGCCACCCAGGTGCCCCAGACATTCATACTTCTTAATTCTGAATCTTTTTCTTCTCTTTTCCCCTCTTCTGCAGTAGCCTGAATTAACATTAACAATAGCAGAATAGGGGCGCCTGGGTGGCGCAGTCGGTTGGGCGTCCGACTTCAGCCAGGTCGCGATCTCGCGGTCCGTGAGTTCGAGCCCCGCGTCAGGCTCTGGGCTGATGGCTCAGAGCCTGGAGCCTGTTTCCGATTCTGTGTCTCCCTCTCTCTCTGCCCCTCCCCCGTTCATGCTCTGTCTCTCTCTGTCCCAAAAATAAATAAACATTGAAAAAAAAAAAATTAAAAAAAAAAAAAAACAATAGCAGAATAACAATGTGCTGGAAAATAATGAATGTTGAGATAATTTATAGTAAATATACTATAGATTATAATATATGGTATAGCCAAACTTTGTATTTTGTTAATATTTTTTTAAGCTTTAAAATACTGGATATTATTTTGTTTATGGAAGTAATTAAGTATATCTTTCAATGCATAGATAAGTACTGGATATATTGTTTTCTTTTTTTTTTTTAAAGGTCCACCAGGAACCCAAATTCAAATCACTGGATCTAATTTTGGTATTGATATCTTGGAAATTTCTGTGATGATAAACAACATCCAGTGTAATGTAACCGTGGTCAATGATAGTGTATTGCAGTGCATCATTGGAGATCATGCTGGTGGCACCTATCCTGTCATGATGCATCATAAGACAAAAGGCTTTGCTGTGTCCACAGTTGTATTTGAGTACCCACTTACTATTCAGAATATTCATCCAAGCCAAGGTAGCCATGAATGTGTAGGAACCTACAAATATTTTATATTGTTTCAGTAAACACTTAATCTTCAGTAAACACTTCAGTAAAAAAATTATTCTTTAAACACTGCTAAGATTTGTAGTTCCTATAACACATTGAAGATAGTTTGGTTTATCCATCAAATAAGCATGTGCATGTATCAATGAATCACTTCAAAATATTCATTTACTGCCTATATTTCTCTTAGTGTTAACATAATTTTATAAAATCATATTTAGACGTCACTGACCTATAATTACGAATACATAAATATTTTTTTCTATTTGAAAATTATTTTAGTGGTTAAAGAAAGTATAATCAATGTACTCTTAATTAAATAGTAATTTTGCATTTATGTTTTGACTACTCTGAAATTCCTTTTGACATCTCTGGTAAATAAAATTTTAGTTCCTAGAAGTAGTTGAAATAAATGACAGGATGTAATGTTTACTCAGTAAAGGTTTTAAATTAATACCATCAAAAGGAATTCTGTTGCATTAATATAATATATACTATATAATTTCAGTTCTAAGAATCATTTCATTTATTATAATTTACTTCCATTTCATGTTTTGAAATATGTACACAGAGGAGGTTTTCATTTCATTAGCTGTGTTTTTCCCTTTTATTTTTCTTTATTAGGGAGCTTTGGTGGTGGTCAGACCATGACTGTGACAGGCACTGGGTTTAATCCACAGACCTCAACTATATTAGTGTGTGGCTCAGAATGTGCAGTTGACAGGCTTAAATCCGATTGCACAACACTATTATGTAAAACTCCACGTAATAATGGTAAGTAGTCAGAAAAAAGAGTGGCAGTCTCTGAGAAATGGTTAATGTTAAAGAAATCAGAGTCTAAATTTCTTCTTCTAAGATTTGGAGGCAATTGAATCACCTTTATGATTGTCCTCATTTAAAAAATTTCTTTTTAAATTTTTTTTAACGTTTATTCATTTTTGAGAGACAGAGACAGAGCATGAGTGGGGAAGGGACAGAGAGAGAAGGAGACACAGAATTCGAAGCAGACTCCAGGCTCCGAGCTGTCAGCACAGAGCCCGACGTGGGGCTCGAACTCACAAACTGTGAGATCATGACCTGAGCCGAAGTTGGACGCTCAACCAACTGAGCCACCCAGGCGCCTCTGACTGTCCTCATTTTAAACAACTTCTGTAGAACTTTGTTTTCTAGGTTTATATGTCTTTCAAGACTCATGACCTTTGGGCTAGATTAAATTGTTTATAATAAATTGTGGTTTTTCAGTTTATCAGGTAAACTGAGCATGCCTAATAGAGAACACATTTTTAATTCCTATTGAACTGTTAGATTTCTGTTAAAGATAAGATAGTATGGTTATGAGTGTAAACCATGATAATGCATTGCCGAGATTCAAACCCAAGCTATGTCTTTGGGCAGGTTATTCAACTACTCGGTGCCTCAGTTTCCTCATCTGTAAACTGAGAATAATCACATTTTCCTACTTTATTATTGTAAGGTTTAATAAGTTAATGTATGTAAAGTGGATGGAATGATATCTGAAACATGAGATGTGATTTGCTGTTGTTATTATTATTACTCTTATTTATTTTTATTTGGTGGTTAAGAGCCCGGGCTCCCAGGAGCCCCTGAATTTCATCTTTCCACTTACTGTGTCACCTCAGTTAAGTAACTGAACTCTATTTCAGTTCATGCATCTATTAAGTGGAGATATTATTAACCCTAATTCTTGGGTTATCATATTATTGTGAAGTTTAAACATCTGGTATTTTAAGTACACAACACATTTTAATTATCCAGTGAAATTTAAGATGAAACAAAAGGAATGCTCTAGGTGAATAAAATATATGGTTTATACACATTTAAAAAAATTTAACAAAATTTGAGGAAGTCTTTATAAACATTTTTACTTCTTCTCTGACTTTTTAAAAAATGTTTATTTTCGAGAGAGAGAGGGAGACAGAATCAGACAGAGTCCAAGTGGGGGAGGGGCAAAGAGAGAGGGAGACACAGAATCCAAAGCAGGCTCCAGGCTCTGAGCTGTCAGCACAGAGACAGACGTGGGGCTCGAACCCACGAAACATGAGATCATGACCTGAGCCGAAGTTGGACGCTTAACCAACTGAGCCACCCAGGCACCCCTGACTTCTTAAACAAAGAATATTGAAGAAAATATAACACTTTTATGAATGAGCTTATTTATCATTTCAACATCAGTTTATATGCTGATTTTTTTTTTAATGCAACAGTGCTGTCAAGATTTGTCGAGGTTTTTGGGGCTGTCTTGATGCCAGCTCTGCTTCTTTGTACATTTTCGTACCAGGTATCTGTGTTCTTTCTGTCTCTTAGCTCACTTCCAGCTGTCAGTCCTTGCTGCTCTCAGCCTGTGTGTCTTACCAGTTCTCCCTCCCTTCCTGCTCTGATTTGTGGTGTCGCATCCTCTAGCGCTGGAAACCACAGGGAGGTTTATAGCATCATCTACAGTAAGAGTCTCCAGGAAAGGGTCTAAGGGGTTTTCTCTTTGACTACATGCATGAATTTTGAGATTTTTTGGCTATTGCTAGAGATCCTTATTAATTGAAAAATAGCCTGTGTATATTGGAAGTGATTACAGGAAAAGGAAGATGTTATTGAAAATGGGAGTTTTGGAAATGAATAAGGGCCTGATGGCAGAACTATCCTCAGTTCGATCCTCTTCTCATAGGCACAGGACCTGAGCAAGCCTGTGAAGTGAGTGTGGTCAACGGGAAGGATTTGTCACAGTCCACGACCCCTTTTACGTATGCCATGTCACTGACTCCACTCATCACGGAACTATCTCCCAAGAGAGGCAGTACAGCAGGGGGCACCAGACTTACGATCACGGGATCAGGCTTCAGGTACTGTCTTCACACACATACATCGGTGTGTCTAAGCTCAAGGCATCACTCTTCCTTTCTCCTATGCAAGCACAGTGCTTAAAATACTCACGTAATGTGTACCCATCTGCTCAGAAGTCATGCTTGAGGCACATCCTAGTACTAATAGCCAACATTTATCAACTACTTACTCCATGTCAGGCACCTTCCTACCCCACAGAAACCTCCTGCCTTACCATCTTAGATATCCCATTTTATGGCTAGGAGACTGAAATTAGGTTAAATAACTTGCCCTAAATCCTAGTCAGACCCCAAGTATAAGTCACATCTTGTTATGTTTCCCCCACTATCTCATCACCAACCATGATCTGCTTCACTGAGTTGATGAAACATGTCTTCATATATCATGTCCATTTCATTGTAAGTGGCCGGATTCCTTCTTCCTAAACATATTCATTATTTGGCTCAAATTTATATACTGCACTGTCCTTATTCTTCAAGTGGATAAGGCTGACTTCAAAACCGCAGATCATTTAAATCATAGAAGGCAATTTTAATTTCTCAAGTACTTAATTTCTCAAGACCTTGGACTTGAATTTTTACATGGATATTAAATTCTGAAGTCTTTGAATTTAGTGAAAATATCACATAAACAAAAGGATCCCTGAAAGTCTCTACCAAAAGAGGCTCTTTAGAGACCAACATGGATTCTTTCAATAAATTGAACCCAGGCAATTTTTCTCCCAGCACTGGAATGCCTGCTAATTTGTACAGCTTTATGTCCTGTCTTCTTAATCTCTGTTTACTTTTTTCTTAACACATAGTTTGAAGACTTGCTATTGAAAAAAGTGTCAGTCTGCACTTTGATGGATCATAGAGTAAGATCATTATTTTTGCAGTAGTGCGTATCATTAATAGGGTTTGAAAATGTTACCTAGAAATTTGAGGGAAGAAAGTCAATGTTTTGTTTGTCCCCTTTTTTCTTTACAGTGAAAATATGCAGGATGTTCACATCACCATAGCTGAAGCCAAATGTGATGTTGAGTATTCCAACAAGACGTATATCATCTGTGTGACAAATGCCCACACCCCTTCAGGGTGGGCTCCAGTTAACCTCAACATCAGGAGCAATGGCATGGCCAAACTGGTAAAGGTGCTGTTGAGTATAGTACTAATGACAGTAATAGAAAAGTAGAAGAGAAAGGAGAAATAGAAAACATGGGAGATGACATAATTGTTAATGGACTTTTTACTCTGTTAATGTCTCCAAAAAATAACTGAAATGTAACTATGCTAAATTTAAAGTAACATGTTTTTGTTGCTTGTTATTAATATTTTATGATTTCAGGTTTTTACTTATTCTGGATTGTAGGCTAATTGGTAATTGATTTTTCACTTTATAATTATTGTGAAATAAACCAACAGACAGCTGTGACATATTTAAAGTAGATTAAACTTGGGGCACTTGAGTGGTTCAGTCAGTTAAGTGTCTGACTTCAGCTCATGATCTCACAGTCTGTTAGTTTAAGCCCCGCATTGGGCTCTGTGCTGACAGCTCAGAGCCTGGAGCCTGCTTCAGATTCTGTGTCTCCTCTCTCTGCCCCTCCCCTGCTTGCACTCTGTCTCTGTCTCTCTCACAAAAATAAATAAACACTTAAAACTTTTTAAAAAATCAGGTAGGGGCGCCTGGGTGGCTCAGTCGGTTAAGCGTCCGACTTCGGCTCAGGTCATGATCTCGCGGTCCGTGAGTTCAAGCCCCGCGTCAGGCTCTGTGCTGACCTCTCAGAGCCTGGAGCCTGTTTCAGATTCTGTGTCTCCCTCTCTCTCTGACCCTCCCCGCCCCGTTCATGCTCTGTCTCTCTCTGTCTCAAAATTAAATAAACGTTAAAAAAAATTTAAAAAAATAAATAAAAATAAAAAATAAAAAAAAATCAGGTAGATTATACTTTGTTACTAATGAAAATGTTTCCTGGTTTAGGTTCCTTCTTGTTTGAGAAATTGAATGAATCATTCTGATAAAACATCTGTATTTAAAAGCTTCTCGTATTTTATTACAGGATGATGCTGACTTCCTGTATGTCGATGCCTGGTCGTCCAACTTCTCATGGGGAGGAAAACCTCCCCCCGAGGAAGGGTCTCTAGTTGTTATTACAAAAGGACAGACAATTTTGCTGGATCAAAATACACCTATTCTGAAGATGTTGCTTATTCAGGGTAAATTTCTGAAAACCTACTTATTAGATTCTGCCTATGGAATATTTCTCTGAATAAAATTTAGTTAAAACTCATGATTATGATTATTTATAGTGGTATGATGTTTTTAATGCAATATGGAATACTGTGTTTTTTAAATTGAACATTATAATCCATTTGTGGTATGCTGTTATTTAGTGTGTTGTAACCATAATCTTTTGATGAAATGGAATGGAAAATATCAGAGTGTCTTGCCTTCTTATGGGTAAGCACCTTCTAAAGTTAAATGTTGTTTTGCGAAACTTTTGTTTCAATAATAATGTATGTGCATGTGCCTATGCCTCTCCGCGTGTGGTGAATCACAACAGTAAAAGGTATTTCCCATTCAGGAAAGGACTGGTATAGTGGCCCCCAGGGGTTATAAAATCAGAGAGATTTGCTAAATTCTATACTAAATGACCACCCCAACTCCCATTGGGTGCCAGGTTGTGACTCTCACTTTTGTCTTTCAAACTACTTTCATTGTACTTGGGCTTCTCTCTGCTTCTTGATATTCCATTAGTACAGAGGAGGAAATAACCAGAACTGTTACAACTACATGTAAAAGCAACAATATTTGGTGAAAGTAAAATGTTTTGGGCTTTCAGGTATCAACTTTGCCATAATGGCTTTAGCTGCTCAAAAACCTTTGTGTTTTGTTTTTGTTTTAACTTCCAGGATAATAGTGTGTTTCAAGTATTTGAAGTTATTAACTCTTGGACCTTTGGACAAGTAAAGTTTTATTGTTGACAAATTTACATCAGTCTCATAAAAATATATCTCAGCACATTCTTTAATAATGCTAATCAGGCTATAGGTGTTGCTGGTGCAAATTAGTGGATAGGAGTTCAGAGCTAATATCAGCATTGTCATGATTTCTATAAAAAGTGCTTTTCTTTCATTTTTAGTTTAATTTAATTTAACTTTTCTTTTCTCTTCTCTTCTCTTCTCTTCTTTTCTTTTCTTTTCTTTTCTTTTTTAGAGAAAGAGAACACAAGCAGAAGAGAGGGGCAGAGGGAGAGAGAAGGAGAATCTTAAGCAGAATACATGCTCAGCATGGAGCCCAGTGCAGGGCTCAATCCCATGACCCTGGGATCATGACCTGAGCTGAAATCAAGAGCTGGGCGCTCGACTGACTGAGCCACCCATGTACCCCTAATTTTAATTGTTTTTGGCCTTAATTTATACTTTGAAGACTTGTGTTTATAGAACATGTAGCTGCACTATTTAAAAGCATAGAAAATAACAGTGGTCAAAGGAAAATAATCTGTCTAGGGATTTAATTTTCCATCAACTCTTGGGTCTTGTCTGAAATTTTTGTATTTTATATTGCTAAAGAGCTGAAGTTAAAGTGGCATGCATAGTGATAGCAGATAAGAATAAGAAATTAGGGCTGGCTCAGTCCGTTCAGTGTCTGACTTTGGCTCCGGTCATGATGTCACGGTTTGTGAGTTTGAGCCCTGCATTGGGCTCTCTGCTATCAGCACAGAGCCTGCTTCCTCTGCTCCTTCTCTCTCTGTCCCTGCCCCACTCACACACATGCCCGCTCTTTCTCTCAAAAATAAATAAACATTAAAAAAAGAATAAGAAATTAAAATTTTATGTGTAATTTGATAAATAGCTTTTAATAATAATTTCCTTTGTTATATTTCAAAATTGTATGGTTCACAGGTGGAACTCTAATATTTGATGAAGCTGACATTGAACTCCAGGCAGAAAATATTCTAATTACAGACGGAGGCATTCTTCAGGTATACGAGAGAACCTGATATGGAATCCTTGCTAACCTCTCTCCATCTCTTTGTAAAATACCACTTGTAAAATGGATGGTTAATTATAACAAGCCCTCACAAGTTTATCTTTATGTAGGTCTCCATTACTAGTCTAAAATCCCCTTTTTGGGAAAATGTCTTCCAGAGTGTTCTTGTGCTTTTAATGGGAAGAGAATAGCATACTATCATAGAGCCAAATTTTAAATAGAACAGAAAAAAAATAATAGCTCTGAAATGTGGCTAAAGTCAATCAGTATACTTTCCAAAGATCTGACTAGAAAACGTAAGGTTTATCTTCTGGAATAAAGATACTACAACCGAGCAATCAATTTCTCAAAAGAAAGGGTTACTTTTTAAGTGGTTAAAACTGTGGATATTGACTTTTAACTTTCCGAATGATGCTTGTGAAATCCCTTGCAGATTGGGACAGAAGCATCCCCGTTTCAACACAGGGCGGTCATTACCTTGCATGGGCACCTGCGATCTCCTGAGCTCCCAGTATATGGCACCAAAACTCTGGCCGTGCGAGAGGGAATCCTGGATCTGCATGGTAGGGCAGCCAAAAGGGCTCAGGGAATTGGTCCAGGAGATACTAGCCAGGAAACAAGGGATAACCCTCCTGACAACTCTTTAAAGGAAAACTTGCCAAGCTTCTCCTGTCTTTACATGTCCCCTCTTTGTTCCTCTTTATCTCTGCCCTCCCCTTATCCAGGGCAGGTCAGCCCTTCCTACTACCAAGACTCACAACCCAAGTCACTCCTGGGGACACCGTTCTGGATCTTCTCTACACCGTTCTGCTTCTTCCTTTGTATGTGTTCCCACAACACCTTTTGCCTATTTCAGCACCTACCAGAGTACATAGTGATTATTACTGCTTTCATTTGTCTATATACCACGGCATTAAGTCTGGAAGCAGAAGATTGTAACTTCTAATGTTTGTATTTTAAAATGGGCTCTTTCTAAAATATAAGTTTATAGTTGTACTTCTATATGACTATATTCTGGAAAATTACCAGCAAATAAAAATGATTATGATCATGTTTGAGGTATCAGGCTTACTTATTTAAAGGAAGCATGGTGTGAATCCTTTTTATGTTAAAGTCTTCTATATTGCAATAATCTGTTTCTTTCATAAATTTAGAATGTATAAACACAATCCCTATTATGATAATAACTGTCACCCTGCATTGTGCTAAATAAATATCCTAATGTAATTTTCAGAAGTTTACACATTTCATTTGTCTCTAGATTATCAATATAAGCAATTTATATCAACACTGGCAAAGGTAATAGGCCTCTGCCTGTTTTAACAATAGTATCAAATCACATTTATATTGTGTTTTTATAAAGATAATTGTTTTAAATGCAGTATATCATTGCAGAAGGATGATTTTTAGTTTTATAGATCCACACATGTTATCATAACATAATTGTTACTTTTATAAAGCAAGCATTCTAAATATTTCTTTTTCTTTTTTGAGAAAGGTATAAAATGCCAAGGTAAAATGAACCTTTCCAAAGTTGATTCAATCCAGGCAAATATGAAAAATACATAAAGCTCTCACTATGCAAGAAAACACGTCTTTAGACATACTCAGTCTGGGGGCACCTGGGTGCCTCAGTTGGTTGAGCATCTGACTTCAACTCAGGTCATGATCTCATGGTCCGTGAGTTCAAGCCCCATGTCAGGCTCTGTGCTGACAGCTCAGAGCCTGGAACCTGCTTTGGATTCTGTGTCTCCCTCTCTCTCTGCCCCTCCCCTGCTTGCGCTTTGTGAATCTTTCTCTATCTCTAAAATAAATAAACACTGATTTAAAAATTAAAAAAAAAAAAGAAAGAAAGACTCAGTTTGTCTGTTGGCTCCAGGTCTGCCTGTTTCTGTGATCTGGACTCGTCTGGCTCATACAACAAAGGCGGGGGAAAGGACTTTGATTTTACAAGAAGCAGTAACTTGGAAACCAGGCGATAAGATTGTAATCGCAAGCACAGGTCACAGGTATGATGTCTTCTGGGCATGATAACTTTGATTTAGAATAGAGATTTTTTTTAACTCTGCAAAAGAGGGATGATCCAGAAGGTCTACAACTATTTGATTTAAATTTGAAACCTCTAATAAAGAAATATAAATACCAAGTACATATTTGCTAAATGTTAACATCAGGTTGAACACCACTGTGTTGTTTTAATTGGTTAATTTCTAATAGGAAAAAGTATAAATTTGAACCTATAAAATGTATACTAATGAAATATTTTAGTTGTCTTTCACAGATAGATTCCCATGTAAGATTTTGCTTGAAAAAAGCATTCTGCTATTAAGTCATTTAAAACCTCTGACTTAGAGCTTTAGCTAAATACATTAGTGAATGCAAAAATGTAAACGAGCTGCTTTATTTGGGGTCACCAGAGAACACGGTGTCAGGCTGCTGGGGAACTCTTTCATATCTTACAGTCTTAGCAGTGGTTCCCATGGAGCAAGGTTGTTAGTAATGATTGAAACAAAGAGAAGAAATTATTACAGATTGAGTGGTGATTAACACGACCTTTTACATGTCTGACATTTTACAATTGAAACGGCCTATGACCCTGAATTTCTGCTTAATTATATATATTAGCAAACGAGAAATAAAAAGAATAAAAATAATACAGCTACACCAAGAATATTGGTGGGGAAAGGGAGCAGGAAGAGCTGTATTTTTGCTTTGTTGTTCAAATTATGGGTAATAGCAAAATTGGGTATGGCCGTGCTTATCAGGTAACAAGTAGTAATTTATGGTAAGAAACGGCTAAATTATGTTAAGGTCGTGACTCAATTTAGAATTAAAATTCAAGATGGCATTTTGATTTTGCCATTTTCCAAGTTAAAAATAGACTTGCAGATGTTAGGAAGAGTTAAGTATATACTTAGCTTTATAAGTGTCCTTTTTTTTTCCTGCCTTTGGAAGAAATTTTAATTACATAATGGCAAAATAAAAAGCAGCAAAATGAGAGGGCTTCCGAGTAGAATAGAAGGTTCTTGTTTATAGCTTTTCTGTGTGAAATAACAGGGTAAATTTAGAATTTAGCTTAGAGATATTTAATTTTAAGGAACAAGAATTAAGAAGTTTCCCACCAAACTGAACTCATTGTTTACTATTTCATTCATACGTTGTATTTAAGAATTTGTAAAAGCAAGTGGTTGAGAAAACTACTAAAATTAGTCAGCCTGGACCCATTTCCCAGCAATACCACTTGCCAGGTCTGCAGCCATAGTATTTCATCTCTGTACTTCAGGAAAACTAGAATGCTAATAGTGTCTATGTCAGAGTTATTGTAAGAATTAAATGAGTTAGTATGTGTAGGCACTCAGAGTGAAACTGGCTCAAAGTAAGTGCTGTATAAATGTTAGATATTATTACAAAGGCATAAAAATTGTGTTCAGGTGCACATAACATATTAAAATGCTTTGTAGAACCTTCTTTTCTAAAGAAATCTGTGTATCATCTGAATCCAAGAGAATTTGGGAGAGGCCCTCCTAAATCCCTTTTCTATATCGCCTAAGGGATCTTATGCTCTTGGTATACCCTTAGCTCAAGCATCATTAATCCTCACCTCCCCATGGCTTCCTTTGCCCACAGTTCCTTCTCTGAGTCTTTTGTACTTTGGCTTTCTCCAACCACTCACTGTCTTGAAAAATAACTTTATTCTCTTATCTTTTCTAGCTGCTTTCATTTTGCTTAAAAAAATGATTAATTTGCTTAAATATTATGCCCATTTTTTTCATTGCATTTTTGTTATCCATTTTTTCCCCTTAAGCCCTTACAGTCTAGTTTTGATCTTCACAAAAACTTTCCCGGTGACTTTCTGACTATCAGTATCTGTCACTTCCTGCACATCACCAAGTTCTTTGGGTCCTGCCCTTGAAATGTCTCTTCCATCAGCTTTCCCTGCCCTTAGTTTAATTTAGACTCTGCCCCTCACACCTGGAATATTACATCACCTTCCGATGTGGGCTTCACTCCTCTATTTTCCTCCCCTCACTAATTCGTTCTGCATTAATTTGTTAAATCAATCAAACACTCTTCCTGAGTTGTGACAGGTACTGTACTGAGTGCTCAGCACACAAAATGACTTAACCTGTGGGTGCCTTACCTGCAGGAGCAGCCTGGTAGTGGAAAGGATGAAGAAGCAGATAGGAGAGCCACAGCAGACATGATGGGCCTGCAGTGTGAATTTGGTGGGCACTGACAGGGCATGAGATAGAGTGTGTTGGGAATCCAGAAGAAGGGCTGGGAAAGTTGAGAGAGGTGTTTTTTTACCCAGTTTGCATGTGACGTTGTCATTTGAACCAGTATTTAAAAGAGGAAAAAGATTTGCCAAGGGAGAGATGAGTCAAAAGGGAAGGTCAGGAAGACACAGATATAACTCCCCTAACCTTACCTCTGTTGAAAACACCAGTCACACACTTTGGTAGATAATATACAATCAGGCACGGGCACACACGTCTCTGTAAAGTCAGGGGTACTTTCTACTTGGCATCCTTTGCTCTGTGCCTAGAAAACCAGCTAGACACTCAATAAATGTTTGCTGAATGAATGAATACATGAGTGAGTATATTATAGAATCGAGAGGTCCTTTCGCTGTGGCTGGAATTGGAGGTGTTTTGAAGAAGTGGTAGAAATAAGGCTTCATATACTTCCCCTCAGTCTTGTCTTTTCCCTACTCAGAAACTTCCAATGGCTTATCAACCTCAGCACTGTTGACACTTTGGGCCTCACAAGTCTTTCTTGTGTGGGGCAGCCCCTTGTGTTATAGGATGTTTAGAAATATCCATAGCCACTCCCCACTAGATGCCAGTCGGACCCCCATTTGTGACAGCCGAAAATGTGTCCAGGCATTGCCAAATGTCTCATGGGCAGATATAATCATTCGCAGTGGAGGACCACTGAGTGTGATCTTCAAAGTTTTAAGTGAATGGCTTATGTGAATACTTTACAGGAATTAGTCCAGTTCTCTCTAAACAACTGCAGCACTGGGAACATATTTATTTAATTGAAATGCATTTGTAAAATTTGCTCACTCTAAGAAAGAGTTAAACACCATTTTCGAATTCCTCTTCAGAATATTGTAAGACATTAAAAAATTTCCTAGTTTATAGAGGGAGTGTTCAGAGAGCATAAAACAAATGCACTGAAACAAGATTATGTTGATTTAGATTAATCTGGAAAGGTTTTTGTTGAAATTTTTACAGACACGGTCAACGAGAGAATGAAAAACGCACCATTGCATCCGTATCTGCTGATGGCACAAACGTAGTGCTCACTGACCCGCTGAATTACACACACTTGGGAATCACTGTCACACTCCCTGATGGAACTCTGTTTGAAGCAAGAGCAGAAGTTGGAATTCTCACAAGGAATATTTTAATAAGAGGATCTGATACTATGGAGTGGAATCACAAAATTCCAGCATGTCCTGATGGATTTGACACTGGTAATTTTAGCAACCTGAGTGTGTCAGCTTGTAAATTGTTTCCAGACATTGTAAAGGTGCTCCCTGGGAGAAAAATCACCCCCAGTTAAAAACTGCTATTGAAAGAGCATACTAGGTTATGCTCTAGTACTAAATAAACCTCAAATGGCATTTCTCTTTAAAATGAGAAAGGTTTATTTCTCACTCAGGCTGCACGTGTCCAATATGCTCATTGTTATGATTCTAGGATATAGGCTGATGGAGACTCCACCTCAACATAGGCCTCTGTGATCTCTGGGACAAGGCAATGGGATGGCCAGGGAGTCAAACAATAGCCGTTAATCACTTTGGTCCTGAAGAGACGTGTCTCTTCCACTCAAGTGTCATTAGACAAGAAATGATTCCATATCTTACCAGAGTTCTTATATGTGTGCCTGTGTTTGTATGTGTGTATATATAGATAGATGATAGATAGATGCTTTTATGTAATAAAAATACCATTACAATATGATGTATAGTTAAATATTAAGAAATATGGTTTAAAGATAGACTTCAGTGGGTTATATTAGAAAAGGCTCCCTGGATTCAGTGTCAAATAACCTACATTCTGATTCCAGTTCATGAAACCTAATATCATCCTGTTTAAAATAAGAATATTTCCTGTTCTGCCCACTTACTGTAGTTACAGGAATTAAGTGGCAATATGCATATTCTAGTGCTATACAAATATAGGATTTGCATTATGTTAATCTCCAAATATTGGGGCAAAGCTTCAGAGATAGTAAGAAAAAATATCTTTATTAGTATTAATTTAACCAGTCAAATATTTATTTAGTATCTTTGAAAAATGCTGTAATAGGTACCTTAGAGAATGCAAAGGTGAACGAGATAGAGGAGGAAATGATGTGAATGCAAATAATTATATCCCAGGATGAGATTAAAATTATGTATGAATAAAAAGGTATAATTAGGTGTGGGGGATCTATATAATTAGAGGATTTTGCCATGGTTTTTCTTTATAATATCTTAAAAAATATTTTTCAAGGTGAATTTGCTACACAGACATGCTTCCAGGGAAAGTTTGGAGAAGAAATAGGAAGTGACCAGTTTGGAGGCTGCATTATGTTTCATGCTCCTGTCCCTGGTGCTAGCATGGTAACTGGAAGAATAGAATACGTAGAGGTAAGACGCATTGTTGGTAAATCACAGTGGTTTGCCAAAAGTTATCTATGGCAGTGACTAAGCACTGAACTGCTGTTGACCAGATGCTGCTTATGATCTGGTAGAGGAGACAGAGAAGTAAACAGACAATTTTGATACACCCAATTATTCACCCATTTAATCATGCCAAAATTTTGTTTCTTTTTCTCACAGCCCACATAAAATTCATCAGCAAGTTCTACCCACACAGCCTACAAAATATAATGACCTGCATCCACTCTCCCTCCACTACTGCCACCCAGTCCCTCACCCAAGCCACCATCCCCTCTCATCTGGACTACTATGATTCCCTCCTAACTGATCACCGTGCTTCCACCCTTTCTCCAATAGAATCTCCATGCCACAGCCAAATAGACTTTTTAAAGTATAAATCAGATCTTGCTGCACCCTGTTCCAATGGCTTTATGTTACACCTAAAACAAAAAGCCCAAGTCCTTCCCATAGGACCCACACGATCTGTCCCCCAGCTGACCTCTGACTTTATCTCCTGTGACTCTACCCAGGCTCATGCCATGCTAGCTGCATGGGCCTCCTTGTCAAGCACATTTCTGTCTCAGGTTCTTTGCATTTGCTCTTCTTTTTGCTTGGAATTCTCCTCCAGCAAATGCTTGTATGGCTCACATTGATTTCGGTCAGATGTGTTTCTCAAATGTCCTCCCTTAAGAGAGGCCTTTCCTTACTGTCTTTATTTGAAATAACTGCCCAAACATGTTTTCCTTCATTTACTCATAGCTCCTGACATATATATATATCTATTTTCAATCTCTCTCCCTAGAACATAAACTCAATTAGTTCAGAGATTTTGTGTTTCTGGTTTTCTACTGATTGTCCTGTAGCTGAAACTGTGCTTGACATACAGCAGGTTCTCAACTGATTGTTAATGTAACCAGTTTGTGAAAAAATAAATAAATATGCAAGTTATCCCCAGGAGATTAGGAGCCCCTCTGTAACTTACTCATATTCAGTCTATATAATCAAAATTTAGCACAGTTTTTATCAGATGTTCAGTAAAAGGGAGGAGGATAGGAAGGATGAAATGATGGAAGGAAGGGAGGGAGGGAGGGAGGGAGGGAGGGTGTGTGTGAGAGAGAAAGGAATAGTAAAATCCATAAATGTATTAAATTGGAGACACCCAGACTGCAAACAACGTATTGAGGGTGGTAGAGGCAACACCTGTATCTCCCTCTTTCTAGGATATGTTACACATATGTGACATCTGAGATATGGACTAAATAAGGTCAGGGTCGATCTGTGTATTGATTATTAGTAATAGTTTTTTATTTTTAGATGAAAAATGAAAATAAATAGATGCCCTAATATTTTTTCTAACATTATGGGATCATATTACACCCGCACACTTGCACACGCACTCCCACACACTGGTATCCTCTGTATTAAATTAATGGATTATAGACCTACTGAAAGAAAGCACAGCACAGTGGTTAATAAAAGCACCAACCTAGAATCAGACCACCTTTAATGGAGTTTAAATGGAGTTTTATGACCATGAACAAGATTCTTAGCCATCGTAAACTTCATCTGTAAAGTGAAGTTGGTGACAAATGGCTACCTTGTAGGGCTGTGGTAAAGATTGATCATGCATATAGGACACAGCACAATATCTGGCAATCGGTAAACATTCAAGAAATATTTGTTATTATTATATAAGAATCAGAGTGAAGGAGAAAAATAAGTCTTTGAAAGGTTTTATATTGCCAAACATGGAAGTTTAGTAATAGATTGAGGTGAAAAACAAGATTCAGAGATGGCTTTTGTTCATTCATTCATTTGGTAACAAGTATGGGCTGTTATATATTGAATAAAACAATGTGGATTGAAGGTCACATAACAGATTTGAAGGATAAACATGAATAATATGGCAGATATAAATGTATCGATAGTAATTAATATAAAATTGGAGATTGTTATGAAACAAGAAAATATAAGCCAGGCAAATTATGAGTCTATGTGTATCACTAAATAGCTATGATTTCTGGGCTTGACAGATATTCCATGCTGGCCAGGCTTTCCGGTTGGGGCGATATCCAATTCATTGGCACCTGCTCGGAGATTTGCAATTTACATCTTATGTAAGAGGCTGTGCAATTCACCAGGCCTATAACAGAGCTGTTACTATCCATAACACACATCACCTGCTGGTTGAGTGGAATATTATATATGATATCAAGGGAGGAGCATTTTTTATAGAAGATGGTATTGAACATGGCAATATTTTGCAATATAACTTGGCAGTCTTTGTGCAACAAAGTACTAGTCTTTTGAATGATGATGTGACCCCAGCTGCATTTTGGGTAACCAACCCAAACAACACCATACGACACAATGCAGCTGCTGGAGGCACTCACTTTGGCTTTTGGTACCGAATGAACAACCATCCTGATGGGCCATCCTATGACCGAAACATTTGCCAAAAAAGAGTTCCTCTTGGAGAATTCTTTAACAACACTGTTCATTCTCAAGGCTGGTTTGGACTATGGATATTTGAAGAATATTTCCCCATGCAAACAGGATCTTGTACTTCTACAGTGCCAGTGCCTGCGATATTTAATTCACTTACTACTTGGAACTGTGAAAAAGGAGCTGAATGGGTCAATGGAGGAGCCCTTCAGTTCCATAACTTTGTGATGGTAAATAATTATGAGGCTGGAATCGAGACCAAGAGGATTCTGGCTCCTTATGTTGGGGGATGGGGTGAAACCAATGGAGCAGTGATTAAAAATGCCAAAATAGTTGGGCATCTTGATGAACTGGGAATGGGGTCTGCATTTTGCACAAGGAAAGGCCTGGTTCTCCCATTTAGTGAAGGCTTGACTGTATCTTCTGTACACTTTATGAACTTTGACCGTCCCAACTGTGCAGCTTTGGGAGTGACATCCATCACTGGAGTTTGTAATGAAAAATGTGGAGGTTGGAGTGCAAAATTTGTTGATATCCAGTATTTTCACACACCAAACAAGGCTGGCTTTCGATGGGAACATGAAGTGGTACTGATTGATGTTGATGGTTCACTTACAGGTAATGTTATATTCTCATCTGGTAATATACATTGGAAATGTTTATGTTTACACAGAGAGTTGAACTGTCAAAGCAGACTCACATGAATCACAGATCTTACCCAGCATCAAACTTTGGCAATGATTTAAGGATATAGGTCAGCACTAGGCACAGATGAGACACTCTTTTTGTGGAAGAAGCCCAAATTGTCAGGTGTAGCCTTTAAAAATATCCTTTATCCTTTTTTTTTTCTCTTGCATTTGCACTTTGGTTTGGATTAACAGCAAATTTTGAGGAATATTTATGGGAACTTTGACCACAAAGGGAATTTTTTTGCTTATTCATTTTATATTCAGTTAATTATACAGATAAGAAACTGTTTACATGATTACCCAAATTCTCTAAGCTAATCATGCCCCATCAATGTATATATTCCAGGTTTATTTACATAAGCAATGTAAGCAAACTAGAAATATCTTGCTAAAATACTGTAAAAGAAAGGAATAAGTTACAGGGCTACTGTTAACTCTTTCCTTTTTTTAAAATTTTTTAACATTTATTTATTTTTGAGAGAGAGAGACAGAGTGCGAACAGGGGAGGGGCAGAGAGAGAGGGAGACACAGAATTCGAAGCAGGCTCCAGGCTCCGAGCTGTCAGCACAGAGCAGGATGTGGGGCTCAAACTCACAAACCGTAAGATCGTGACCTGAGCCAAAGTCAGACACTTAACCGACTGAACCACCCAGGCTCCCCAGTCCTTTTCTTACCACTCTAAATTCTGAATTTGAAATTAGTTCAAAGAATATGTTAACTGTAGTACAAAATTCTACATGGAGTATGCCACATTTTCTGTAAATATTCATAATTTCTACAGTTTAGTATCTGTACACATTTTTCAACGTTTATTTATTTTTGGGACAGAGAGAGACAGAGCATGAACAGGGGAGGGGCAGAGAGAGAGGGAGACACAGAATCGGAAACAGGCTCCAGGCTCGGAGCCATCAGCCCAGAGTCTGACGCGGGGCTCGAACTCACGGACCGCGAGATCGTGACCTGGCTGAAGTCGGACGCTTAACCGACTGCGCCACCCAGGCGCCCCTCTGTACACATTTTAATGATATATTTGTCTAAATAAGATCACAAGGATTATGTGTGGGATTCTGCATAATTCTTTAAGAGATCATTGACAAGTAAATCTACAGATATTAGCAATTTACTTTTGAAAGACTTTGTAAGATGGAAAAAGATTCATCTCAATATTCAAATAGACTGAGTTCTCAACTATAGTTGTTGACTTTTGACTGTTGTTCTAATTGTGGCTTTTAGAGGGAGAACATTTGGGTGATTCTCATTTATAAAAATTTGTATAACCTTTATTAGTATCTAATTCATTCAGCTTGGGTATTTAATGGTAGTTGGCAGTCCATTGGTTAAGAGTACAGGCTCTATGGTCAGACTTCCTGGGTTTGAATCCTTCTGTGTATCCTTGAGTAAGTTACTTATCCTGTTTCCCATCCTTATTTGGCTCTCATGTATTCTTCAGATCCTGTGTTTCATCTACATCTACAATAATCTCCCTAACCAAAGAATCCACTGCAAAGCTTCCATATGAGGTCCTATTCCCCCATGCCAAAAAAATAAATTACCAGGACTTTTAGATTTTGTTACTGGTACTGTGGGGCACAGTAGCTATATGTTGTAGACAGTTTGGGGTTTTGTTGGTTTTTTTAGTTTTCTAACATGATACAGGAAACATTCTGTTTATGTCCATCTCCTAGGTCACAGAGGACACACTGTCATTCCATACAGCTCATTGCTGGACCCTTCCCACTGCACACAAGAAGCCGAGTGGAGCATTGGGTTCCCTGGGGCTGTCTGTGACGCCTCAGTCAGCTTCCACCGTTTGGCATTCAACAAGCCTTCTCCAGTATCTCTGCTTGAAAAGGATGTGGTTCTCTCAGACTCTTTTGGTAAGTGGAATACAATCGTTTAAACTAGTAACTTAAATATTTTTCTATTTTCATCATCATCTTTTTGAGTTATCACTCGCTATTTGGAACATGGAAAAATTATAATATTTTTATTAGTCATTATCAGGCAGGAAACAAATAACACACCCAAAATGGGCATGTGAGGATATGGAATAAATGCATGGACCAGCATGATGTTCTGCTGCTCAAGTAACCTCCAGATAATATTACTACAGAGAGTAGGAAAGTTGACACAGTCCTTGGAGCAAGACGGTAAAAATACACTGTTGTCCCTGCTAGTGAAGGCAGAGCCTTTTGATTATATTTGTTGATTGAAATGGGTTGGAGGGGCATTTGCTAGGCCAATAGCTGTACACCAGGTGCCAGGGATTATTGGTTCACCGATTTGTTTTAGTAATGATATCATACCTGGAATATCAGATGAGCTTGACATCATTACCTGACTAGGTTGAATTAATTTGCTGTCATTATTCATGATCCCTCTGGCATTTGCACCAGCCAAACAAGTAAGTTAAATGGGAATGTGCCCTTTGGTCGAGAGATGCAGGAGCCCACTGAGAACCCCCTACTTCCTCACAGGGAGAGAGGGGACTAATGAGTTCATTACACATTCCTCTCTGCCTCTCTTCTTCCTCTGCTCCCCACTGTCCAAACTCATGAAGAATAGTGGACAGTGGATCTGCAGGGGAAACAGTAAGTACGAAGCAATTCTTTTATCATTTATTACGATGTTATCAGTTATTATATTTAACTTTTAAAACATTCTTACTAGAGTTTCTTCCTCCTATGAATTGAAAAGGTCATACAGCAACTCTCTGGGTAATGGTTATACCCACTATCTCAGTGGCTTAAAAACATGAACCCAGCAGCCATTCCTTTTCTTGTGATTACCAGATGTCTGGGATGGAGCAACATCACTTAAACTTTTAGAGACTGTGGTACAATAAACAATATTTTAAGCAAAGTATCTATGAATGTTTTCTTCTGATTAAAAACTGAGAAGCTAAAACAAAAAGGAACCAAAACACCAAAAGCAAATGAAGCTATTTTGTCTGATGAGATAATACATTAATATTTCCCATTATTATGTTATCAAATAGTTACTTATGATAAAAGTTTTAATCATATCTTCAAATACTTTATGACTGAACATTAGCTTTTTATAAAACGTGGTCTAAGATAATTTTCCAGAGGACTCAGAGATGTACAAACCATCCTGAGGAAATTATTTTAAATATACAGCATAATAAAAAATATATATGCCTTTAACAATTTTTCAGTAGTAATAGTTAAACATTTTGAGTCTGTAGTTTAGGGTTTGTTTTTTGTCATTGTTGGTTTTTTGGTGGTGGTGGTGGTGGTGGCGGTAGTGATGATTTTAGAAGTTTTTATTTGTGTTATTATTCATTTTTTAAAAGTTTATTTATTTTGAGACAGGAAGAGAGTGGGGGAGGGGCAGAGAGGAGAGAGAGTCTCCCAAGCAGGTTCCATGCTGTGAGCATGGAGCCCAACTTGGGCTCACATCCACAAACAGTGAGATCATGACCTGAGCCGAAACCAAGAGCAGGACACTTAACCGACAGAACCACCCAGGTGCCCTGTTTGTTTTTACTTTTGATTTAAGAAGTCTAATATTTCTGAATTTATGAGACTATAGCTTTCTTGTGAAGTCTCTCTGTGCCTTTTTGTCTGATCCTTTCAGGAATAAAGATTTTTATTTAATTACTAAACTGAACACCTTGGTGGCAAGATCTATAAATTTATCTTTCTGTCACCCACATAGCTCAATACAAGACATTGCGATAGTGGAGACTCAGTAAGCATTGAATTACAATGGAATTAGTTGTAGTACCCAGACCAAAATACAGAGTAGAGAAAACATCATGCCAGGTATTTTCCTTTATAATGTGACATAAAAAAATAAATCAATTTTCATAGTCAAGCAAATTTGACTATTTTTATTTTATCTCCATTAAATCCAAATAAAATTACTTAGTACTAAGAATTAAAAACAAAAAAAAAAGATCACTTGTTTTCATTTTATATATATACTAAATGAATCAAAAGTTCAACAAATATACTAGAAAAGTGGGAAATAAGATTTGATATAACTTTACATATATCTTTAGATATCTTTATCAAAGGGTCTTATACATGGTGATGTGTGTATCTTTATGTATATATGTATGAATATACATATCTTTATGAATTCATATGTAAAGTTAGACCAGATGGCAAATTAATTTTTGACACTGTTAGTGATACTATAGACCAGATGGCAAATTAATCTGAGACACTTACTTTTAATACTATTTTTTTAAATATCAATTTCAAATTTCAGTCCAAGATGCTTAAAATCAACATGCTGAAAATGAATGCATCTGAAAAAAAATTAAGAAAACAAAAATAACTATTAAAATGATAATTAGTTTTATTTACAAAATAATCATGAAGGAAGTTCAGCCTAAAGTATAATTCCACGCATCAGAAAAACTTTGGTGGAGGTTGGTTCTGCCAAACATAGAGCAAATTCTAGAGGTTGTGGATGATTTTCATGAACTCTTATCTAAGTCAGCTATTGCTTCCTGACAGACTATCCCCAAACTTAATAGCTTAAATCTACAATCATTTGTTTTCACTCTCGTGTCTGAGGACTGGGGGTTGGGTGATCTTGGCTGTGCTCGACTAGGATGCTTTGCCTGAAGGTGAGGAACCAGTGGGCTCTGCTCCTCCCAACAGTTGAATTCAGGTTGTTCCATGTGTGTTTATTCCAGAACACATGCTGAAAGGAGAGCCAGCTCCCTGGGGCAGGATCTCTGCACTGCAACCAGAGGCTCAAGATGGCAAGGCTCACTCAGCTAGCACTTTTCAAATGGTTATGAGTGTCTGGTCCCCCAACATCAATAGGCCTGAGGAGTCTACGCTGCACTTAAGGAAGAGAGAGGAATAAATTCTTACTGAATAAAATTGAAATCATCATAGTTCTTCTCATACATTGCAGGTCATTTGGAACTGTATGTTTTCAGGGTCTCTGCTCATGGCCTTTTTAAATGCAGTGCTAATTCACAAGCCTAAGAATTAATGAATTTGTTCCTCCTTAATATTGGAACTTTTTGCCTCATTCTCCAAAGAAAAAGGATGAGAGTTTATTTTATAGTCTTTCTTCTAGCTTCCTCTTCCTAAATTTATAAGGGAAGAGTTTGCAAATTTAACATAAAGTTCAATCAGAGATGACAAGAGAGAGAGAAGGGAATGGAAAAAATAGAATGTAAGCAATTAATCATAGATCTCTTCTTTACATTGTAAGAATTCTTTTCAAATCTTTAGCTGAAGTTGTCAGGCACTCTCTCATGAACAAGAATTACCAAATTAAATATTTTTTTTCTCATAACAGGTAGTTTAGGTCCCAAGTTTGTTGTTCACAAAATTTAGGGTATCATGGCCACTGTTCATGGTAAGTCTGGTGGTAACCTAGATCCTTAAGAGCTTCAAATCAAATCTTACCATTAGTACTTATTACTCAGATTTTGTTAACTCAACAAATACAGGAAATCTAATAAAGAATTAGAACTTATATTGACATGCCCTACAAATGAAGCATCCTGAAGAATTAAGTTCTTAAAAGAATAGCAACACAGTACATATTTTTTTAAAATTTTTATGTATTTATTTATTTTGAGAGAGAGAGAATGCACACACAGCGCAGGCACAGAGAGAGAGGGAGAGAGAGAATCCCAAGTAGGCTCCACGCTGTCAGCACAGAGCCTGGCACAGGGCTCAATCCCACAAACCATGAGATCATGACCCGAACCAAAATCTAGAGTCAGACACTTAACCAACTGAGCCACCTAGGGACTCCTCAAAAGAATTATATTTTAGACCAATAATACTTAAAGAACTGTGTTAATATATTTAAACACTTTTGTCATAGTGGTCATAATCATCATCATGTTTGAATTTTATCTTTCCCTAAGGAATAATGATGTCATCTCAGTTCAGAATTCCAAGTGAGAAAGCATTTTGTATTTCAGTTAAGTGGAATATTAAACATTGGGGCCTTCAGTTAACAAAGACATTTAGAATATAAGTAATGAAATGCTATGTTGACTTCTTCAGAGACTTCTGTTGACTTGGCTAATATTTGACATTTGCACTTCTTGGTAAAAAGAGGAATTTTCTAGAGATAGAGATCACTATTATTTGTTTGTTTTGCATTCTGCTATAGGCACAAGCATTGTTCCCTTTCAGAAGAAACGACTGACTCATATGTCTGGATGGATGGCTCTGATTCCAAATGCAAAGCACATTAACTGGTATTTTAAAGATGTAGGTCACATAACCAACATATCCTATACATCAACATTCTATGGATTTAAGGTAAAGAGCTATAAAATTCATCTTCTAATAATTATGATGGCATATAACACGAATGCAGCATGGAAGGTGCTTGCCTCACATGCTGACCTGCATGCACTTCATGACCCACCCTGAATCTAAGCAGCCAAAAAAAAGGAACCTTGTGTAGGAATCAAAGTCAACAATCTCTGCCATATTCCCATAATACTAAGCTGGTGTCCTTTTATTATCACCGTAATAATAACTAGCATTTATTGAGTGCTTATGATGTTCCAGGTACCAGTTAAAGGCTTTATAATTTGTATTATTAAAATTTTTTTTTAATGTTTATTTATTTTTGAGAGAAGAGAGAGACAGAGCACGAGTGGGGGAGGGACAGAGAGAGAGGGAGACACAGAATCCAAGGCAGGCTCCAGGCCCTGAGCTATCAGCATAGAGCCTGACACCAGGCTCCAATCCACGAACTGCGAGATCATGACCTGAGCTGAAGGTGAACACTTAACCGACTGAGCCATCCAGGTGCTCCTATAATTTGTATTTTCATGTATCAAAAATAAAAAACAACCGGCCAAGTCCTTTATGCCTACCACCTAGATCTATCTGAATCTAACATTCTGTGTATATTTACTTTTGATTTTTTTTAAAGAAATAAATATTTTTAGATAAAATGGAAGTCCCTGTTTGGCTTACCCTAATCTTATTCCCCCACTTTCCACCTCTGGTGATAAACAGTATCCTGAATTGGGATTCATATTCTTCTACTTATACTACATACGTGTAGCCAAAAACAAAACCTATCATTGTTTTAAATGTTTCAAACATTATAGAAATAAAATATTCTCTAGATATGTGTGTATGTATATGCATATACAGAGAGAGAGAGAGAGAGAGAGAAAGACTTTTGTTGCTTTAGGATATAGTTAGCATTATTTCCATAAATGTGTAAATGTTACTAAACAAAATATGAATGCAAAATGACAAACTAAAACCACAACTTAAGTCTTAGTATAAGCTGTATCTATATGTCATCAAAATTAATGTGTATCTCATCAAAATTAATGTATATTATGTAAGATATTACCATATAAAAGAAATCATATTTTGGGGAAAACTTTTATAGGAAGAAGACTACGTAATCATATCTCATAACTTCACTCAAAATCCTGATATGTTTAATGTTCTTGATATGAGGAATGGCTCTTCAAATCCATTGAGTTGGAATACTAGCAAGAATGGAGACTGGCACCTTGAAGCAAACACAAGTACTCTGTATTACTTGGGTATGTGTTCATTGGGCAGAGTGATTCTTTTATCTAATGCTTTGTCTAAAGGAAGAGAAAAATAGCTTAATGAACAATTATGCCATACAGTGTCCTGCATATAGCAGGAATCAAGAAATGTTTGCTGAGTGAAAGAATTAGAGACTGAATTTATGTTGAAAAGGGCCTTGACAAAATGAACAAATCAGGAGACTATAGATGCTGGAGAGGATATGGAGAAACAGGAACCCTCTTGCACTGTTGGTGGGAATGCAAATTGGTGCAGCCACTCTGGAAAACAGTGTGGAGGTTCCTCAAAAAATTAAAATAGACCTACCCTATGACCCAGCAATAGCACTGCTAGGAATTTATTCAAGGGATACAGGAGTACTAATGCATAGGGGCACTTGTACCCCAATATTTATAGCAGCACTCTCAACAATAGCCAAATTATGGAAAGAGCCTAAATGTCCATCAACTGATAAATGGATAAAAAAATTGTGGTTTATATACACAATGGAGTACTACGTGGCAATGAGAAAGAATGAAATATGGCTGTTTGTAGCAACATGGATGGAACTGGAGAGTGTAATGCTAAGTGAAATAAGCCATACAGAGAAAGACAGATACCATATGGCTTCACTCTTATGTGGATCCTGAGAAACTTAACAGAAACTCATGGGGGAGGGGAAGGAAAAAAAAAAGAGAGGTTAGAGTGGAAGAGAGCCAAAGCATAAGAGACTCTTAAAAACTGAGAACAAACTGAGGGTTGATGGGGGGTGGGAGGGAGGGGAGGTTGGGTGATGGGTATTGAGGAGGGCACCTTTTGGGATGAGCACTGCGTGTTGTATGGAAACCAATCTGACAATAAACTTGATATATTGAAAAAAAGAAAAGAAAAGAAAAGAAAAGGGCCTTGAGTTGAATTAAGAACTTACATTTTATTTTTTACAAGAATTTTTTAATGATTTTATTTATTCATTCATTCATTCATTCATTCATTTATTTATTTAAGAAAGTGAGCTGGTGGGGAGAGGGGCAGAGGGGGAGAGAGAGAGAGAGAGAGGGAGGGAGAATCTCAGGCAGACTTCATGCTCAGTGCAGAGTCTTACACAGGGCTCGATTCCACAACCCTGAGATCATGACCTGAGCTGAAATTAAGAGTTAGACGCTGAACTGGCTGAGCCACCCAGGTGTCCCAGAACTTACATTTTATGTTTGAGATAACACCAACACTGTTACACATGGCCCTGACATTTATTTCACAAAATGAGAGGAAATGAGTACAAAGGAAGCTGTCAAATATTTCGTTTCCATTTTTATTATTTTATTATTTGGGGCAATTATAAATATTTAAGAATACATTTTGAGTTCCAGAATACTTGTTTTGTCAAGACAGTTTGACTGCTTCTCAATAAGACATGTGCATTTCATCAGAATTTTTCCTTATGTATTGCATATGTTTGAGCTCTACCAACCTACTATCTAAAGAATATTTTCAAGTCGCCATGGTTTTGTCCACATTCAGGTTCTTTAGTCATCTTATGAATTTACTGTTTTTAAAAATTGTTTTTAAATGTTTATTTATTTTTGAGAGAGAGCACAAATGGGAGGAGGAGCAGAGAGAGAGAGAGAGACAGATGATCTGAAGCAGGCTCCACACTGATAGCAGACAGCCTGATGTGGGACTCAAACTCATGAACCCTGAGATCAGGAACTGAGCTGAAGCCAGACACTTAACCACTAGAGCCACCCAGGTGCCCTGATCGTCATATTAATTTAAAATACTTTCCTTCACCTCCAGTGTCAGGAAGAAATGAACTTCAGCAGAGCCAGCCCATCTCTGGGACCCTGGATCCTGATGTGAAAGATGTTATTATTAATTTCCAAGCTTACTGCTGCATTCTCCAGGATTGCTTTCCTGTACATCCCCCAGCAAGAAAACCAAATCCCAGGAAGCGACCAGCCACGTATAAGTATACAGGCCTTTTGTTTGTTAATACCTTTGATAGCACTTGACGGTTTTCACACCTCACTCTTGGTTGAGAAAATAATGCCCTGGACCTGCACAATGCCTTGTAAGTCACCAGGCATGTCCACACTCATTACTTCACTTGGGCCTTATAACCACCCTGATGAGAAAATGGAAAGTCTCACAAAAATTATGTGTGAATGTTACTGGTAATCTCCAACTTGCAGAATGTTAGATATGGATTGCTAGGCCAACTCACTTATTATATATGTGAGAAAGCGGGCGCCAACGACCTTTAGTGAATTATGCGACATCACAAAACTTTTGATGACACTTTCAGAATAGCACCAGAAACTAAGTCTCCTCATTAATCCAATGCTTTCTTAGCAGGTCATGTCTTCTTTGTCTAGAATAAGTATCATGGCCAAATCTTGTAATACAACTTATTTTAGTTCAAATGTTTGATTCCCTAATGTATGTTAATTCTCCTAGTTAAAAATGATTTTTCTATCTTTGAAACTTACATAGACCTTTACCTTTATGTCTCATGTGAAATGTCATCTCTACCTTGTATTATAGCAATTACCATACATCATGGAACTAGTATGTGATGACTGTACTAGCCTTTAAGACCCTTAAAGGTATGATCCTGATTTTATGTTATTTTTGTCCTTTATGGACAAGTAATCATAAAAATAATGTTAGCGATGATAAAAGCTAACATTTAGTGAGCACTTAAGAGCCTACTACTATGCATCAAGTATGCCTCAATATTTCTTATTAGGTGAATTACATTTCAAAATATAGACATACTACAGTAGATACTATACAAAAAGAATAATTGAATTTGTTTATATATTAACCCAATCATTAAAAAAAATGTGCTGAGCACCTGCTATGCCCCAGACACTGTGCTGAGCATTGAGGAGTCCATTGTAAACAACAAAGATGTGGTCCCTGCCCTCATTGCACTCACATTCTATCCAAAGAGATAGATGCCAACAAAAGAAAGCAAAGAAACAAAAAAGTAAAGAGAAAATAAAGCACATGAGTGTAAGTTGTAATAAAGGTTATAAGGGCAATGGTTAGGGGCTGGGACAGAGAGCAACATGACAGGGACCTCCTTTGGGTGGAATGGTTAGAAAGGATGGGAAATTCCAGTTGAGAGCCAAAGGGTGAGGAAGAGAGGACCATGGGAAGGGTGGGAGAGGAGTGTTCTAAGCCAAGGAAGCATCTTGGCCCTGAAGTGGGAAAGAGTGTGGTATATCTAGGAACAGAGAGAAAATCAGCATGGCTGGACCCTGGTGAGCAGAAGAGAGTAGCCTGGAAATATTGTTGGAAACAGGTAGACATCAGACCATTCAGCTCAGGCAGGCAGTTAGCATTAAGAAGTAGAAGCTTTTAAATGATTTTCAGCTGAGAAGTAACATACTCCAAATTGCATTTTGGAAAGGCCACTTTTGCTACTCTGTCAGCTTTACAGAGGGACAGTGAAGAAAGGCTCATGAAAAGACTCTAGAGAGCTTTGTAAGAGACATGGGCCATCAGGGTTATTGACCAAAAAGCCCTTATGTAGTCTAGGGTAGAAAAAATAGTTGAAAATTTAATTAATATTCATTATGACTCACATAATAGGTTTAGATTGGTCTAGACCAGAATGTGATAGAGGAATATGTTGTTCTGCTACGTGAATAGGTCTTAGAATAGGGTTTTTCCCTTTCATAGTATGAGTTCTGCTCTCTAGAAATGGCTATAGTTGGATTTGTTAATTAGTATTATGCAGATAATACTATCAGTAAAAACAAACAGAATCTTGATCCAGAGCTGGTACCTCAAGATTAGGATGTAAAGCTCTAGCTATTCAACACACATATGCTTAGTTTAAGAAGTATTAGGCTTCATTTCATTGATTATAACAATGGGCAGTAAGAAGAAGAATGTATAAAATGCATGGTATAGTGCTGGTAGGGGTAAGAATGAAAGGCTATTAATCTTGAGAAGAGCTAGATAAAATCAGTTATCCAATCTGTACAATGCTGGCCAGGTTATTTAGTTAGAAAGATACAACCTTAAACAAACCTTCCCTAAAATTGCTTCTTGAAAAATAATGTATTATTGTCAGTCTAACTGCTAGCCTCACTTTTAAAACTATTAAAACAAATTTTTATTATTGTCAGTCTAACTGCTAACCTCACTTTTAAAACTATTAAAACAAATTTTTATAACAGAATTTTTGATTAACACATTTCTTAATGATAAAACTTAGTAATTCAAATGTATACTACAAGTACACTCTTAACCAAACTGTATGTTGACCCTTTTTTAGAATTCCAGAATTAGTATCATAGAATTTTTAAAGTTTTTACTAGTTAAGGAAGCAACCACTGATTGTGAATGTTTTCCAGTAGGAAAATATCATCAACTTTATAATAATATTCTTTACAACAATTTGGACTTGAGGTGGTTTCTGGAAAGTATAGTGATGAAAAGAGGAGACTGCCTCTCCCCCAAAGCACTTTTTATATCTATTTCAGTTTAACATAACCCTCACTCTGGTTGTACACCTACCATCCCTGACTCCAGCCCAGAGGCTTAACCTCATTGACTCATCGTTGCCAATTCACATCGCCAATTCCATCCCTCCCTTCACAGAATCTAACTGACCATATCCTATTTCCCCTTTCCCCATGCAGTAGCACCACATGTAAGGGTCTTTAAATGGACAAAGGATGCATTCCTTTTCTTTTTAAAAAAAAATATTTTATTTTATTTTTTGAGAGAAAGAGAAAGAGAGAGTGAGCCAGAGAGGGGCAGAGAGAGAGAGAGAGAGAGAGAGAGAATCCCAAGCAGGCTCCATGCTGACACAGAGCCCAATTACAGGGCTCAAACTCATGAATTGCAAGATCATGACCTGGACTGAAATCAAGAGTTGGGTGCTTAACTGACTAAGCTACCCAGGTGCCCCAGGATACATTTCTTTTCGCTTTCTGTCATGTGAAATCTTATAAGGAAATTAAGTAATTTACATCTTAGCCAAAATGAGGGTATTACAATGAGGATTTAGTGGGAGAAAAAGTGATTCAGATTGTAGATGGAAAGGAAGTTTTCTTCAATGGAGAAAAAAACAGCTGTGTATGTAGTCATATGTGTTAAGTGTCCTACCAATTGCACCTATCAGCTCGCCTGCTTAGTGACAATGTATAAATTCTCTAATTTACCTTCTGTCATCCCCGAAACATCTAGTATAGTGGTACACCCTAAGGAGATGGTCATTAAGTATATAGAGATAATACTTAATGGAATCATTTCTCTTCTCTTTTCAGCTTATGGTCAAATGATTCTTTTTGGCAATCATCTCGAGAAAATAATTATACCATACCTCACCCAGGGGCAAATGTGGTTATTCCTGAAGGTAAGTATATAAATGTAAGTAAATGAAATGCCTATATTTATGTGACATTAGGATAGATACGACAATAGTTACATTCCACCTTTAAGCAGCACACCTTGGGGAAAGAGCAAATGTGAAGAGATGGATTCTATTATTGTGTCCTGGGTACCAGACCTAGCCTTCTGGGTTTTATGTGGATTTCAACCTGAAGATTAAGGATAACAGATTTCCTGGGAGAGATAAGAATAAGTCATTGTGTGGAAAAAGGGTTGCAAACTTCAAAACCAAGGCTCACTGATAAGGTTGTCATTGTTTTTATCTATAGGCAATAGTTTATGGATTATGTTATATTTCTCATAATAAAGCATTGTTTTATAGGAACATGGATTGTAGCAGACACAGATATTCCACCAATGGAAAGTCTCATTATTTGGGGAGTTCTAGAACTGGAAGATAAACACAGTGTGGGAGCTGCAGAGTCTTCTTACAGAAAAGTTGTTCTAAATGCTACCTACATATTGCTTCAGGTAGGAGGAAGGGTCTTACAATTTATACCTTTATTAGTCTAATTCTAGGATGTTGGAGATTTACTGAAAAAATTATAGGGGTGCCTGGGTGGCTCAGTCGGTTAAGCGTCAGACTTCAGCTCAGGTCATGATCTCATAGTTTGTGAGTTCTAGCCTCGCGTCAGGCTCTGTGTTGACAGCTTAGAGCCTGGAGTCTGCTTCGGATTCTGTGTCTCCCTCTCTCTCTGCTCTTTCCCCGTTCGCTTTCTCTCTCTCTCTCTCTCTCTCTCTCTCTCTCTCTCAAATAAGTTAACATTAAAAAAATTATAAGAACATATGTTCAATCGATGTGAATAAAAAACACAACTGGCTCTAACCTATGAGATAAGTCCAATATATTTCTGCTGCCCTTTAAACTGGTGGCCACACATTCCTTAGGGAGTAATTATGCTACTTTTTACTGTGAAGTTTGCCCATTTTTAATCCTACGTAGAATATTTGTATTATTGTTAGGTAAAGCTAAACCCACAACTTGCTCCAACAACCAGAGAATCCAATTCCAGGAGTTGTGGAAAAAAATAAAAAATTTAAACCTTTTCTTTTTTTAAGAAAACAGTGTTTCTTAAAATGAATGGACATGGATGGAATTATGACAACAGGAGAAGACTACTAAAAATATTTCGGTTGTTTGGAACAATCACCTCATTCTCTCATAAAGCTCAGACTGTCTTGAATATGTAACAGTATAATTGGTTGAATTGTTCTGTCAGTTTTTATTATTGTTAATTAAAAAGAATGGCCTAGCCAAAAAGCTGTTAAGTGTCCTAAGAAAATAAAAGTAGTAGTAACTTTTCTTTGCTAAAACTAGGACTTTACTGCTTTAAAGATATGCAGTATTTTAGTATTTAGATGCATGAGCTTTGAGGTAAATTAAAGGTACGACTGAGTCCTTACCTCAGTTGGGAACCTTGGGTAAGTTATTTGACCACTTTTAGCAACAGTTTTCTCCCCTATTAAGTGAGAATAATAACAGCAATTCATGGGCTTAGTGTAAAGGTCAAATGATATAATGTATGTAAAGCCTTACACATTATGCCTGGCAGAGAATCAGCAAGCATTTAGTAGTAGCTATTATTATCAACAAAGAGGGCTCCTTAAGAAACGAAATAGATGAACATAGGGGAAAGGGGGGAAAAAAAAGAGAGAGAGAGGGAAACAAACCATTAAGAGAACCAACAGGGTTGACAGAGGGAGATGGGTGGGGGGTAGGCTAAGTGGGTGATGGGCATTAAGGAGGGCACTTGTAGTAGGTATTGTATGTAAGTGATGAATCGCTAAATTCTACTACTTAAACCAGTATTACACTATATGTTAACTAAAATTTAAATAAAAATTTGAAAAAACAAAACAATGAGGCCTCCTAATGGGCACAGCTTGGAATTAAGTGTGAGGAGTGTACTTCATATATGTCATATTGTGCTAAAATAAAACGTGATCTGTCCAGTAACACTAGTTTAGGTCTAAGCAGGTCTCAGCTTTAGGACAGTGCTGACAATAAGTAGCTAGTAAGTCCGACTTTGAAAAATCATTTAAGCAGCCTATCCCAAAGTGACAGGGTTAAATCAAGGTCGCTTCCAGATACAATACTGTTCTTTGTATAACAAATTTCATTCATTTTTACTAGAGGAAGCTACCAGTATCTTTCTAATTCCATTTTTATGGGTGAAATTTTTTTCTGCCCAATTTTTAAGTATTAACAATTTTCTGCTTCACTGCAGGGAGGTAGATTGATTGGTGGCTGGGAAGATAACCCTTTTAAAGGAGAATTACAGATTGTTCTTAGAGGAAATCATTCTACTCCAGACTGGGCACTTCCAGAAGGACCAAATCAAGGATCAAAGGTCTTAGGTATGTGTTTCCAGATACCAAAAGTATCATGTCAGTTTTGAGAATCTATTTTTTTAAATTTTTTTAATGTTTATTTATTCTTGAGAGAGAGAGACAGAGACAGAGTATGAGCAGGGAAGGGTCAGAGAGGGGGAGACACAGAATCCGAAACAGGCCCTAGGCTCTGAGCTGTCAGCACAGAGCCCGATGCGGGGCTCGAACTCACAAACCACAAGACCATGACCTGAGCTGAAGTCAGACGCTCAACCAACTGAGCCACCCAGGTGCCCTGAGAATCTATTTTAAGACATATGGCACTAAAATACTTATCAGTTCATGATGTTATGGTATCAGAAGATTTCACAGACATTTATTTATAGTAAAGAGTTATAAAAATAAATTAAAAAATGTTTAAATAAATCATGTCACACTAAAATAGGTATAGACGTGCGTATTTGAAACCAAAATATAACTCATTGCAAAACTAACATTAATCTCTCCATATGTGTATTATTTCTCCAATCTGGTTTTCTTTATAACTGTCTCTTTTTATAAATAATCATACTTTCTCATATCTTAGTGCTTTTCCCTTAAAAGGTAACTTTTCTACACATTATTCTTATAGTGTTAATAATCTGTGAATCAGTTGACTGCCATCAGTTATCTAGTCACAACTGTTGCTGAACTTTATACTTTCCTGTTGGATGTGTATGGCTGTATGTATTCCTATCTGAGCCTGGAAAGTAAAGGAACTGAGAGGGTTTATTTGGTCATGATTAATAACCAAGTTTATTAACACTGCTGCATATCTGTTGGAAAGATACATACAAGCATGTGCTGCAGTCGCTTTGCCATACAATTTCTAAACAGTGACAATCAGTAAATAGGGGCATAAAAAATGGCTTTGCCTGAAGGAGTCAGCTCTCCACTGGTAAGTGTTCCAAGGCAGACAAATTCCATCTTAAAAAGAACTTGCTTTTATGTGTTTATTTTTTTGTTTCAAAAGTAACATTTCAAACAACATAAATGATATCAATAAAAAATATTAAGAAAAAGTATACATCTTTCCAATTCTACCCCATCATGAGGAAACTAGTATCTGTATTAGTAGTTTTTACATGTCTTCTCATGTTCTTTATATATGTGTACATTCATATTGCATATATTGATTTGTGGTTATAGTATTGTGCCTTTTACAAAAACATGGTCAAACTAAATATATTCCTATGCAGTTTTCTTTCTCAGTTAACATGTTATGGATATCTTTCTACGTCAATATTTACAGATAACACTCTTTCTTTTTATAGCATATTACCCTAGTGTATTAGTATATTATAATTTATTCCATCATTCTCTTATTGATGTACATTTAGATTTATTCCATTTTTCCAATATTTTCTAGTATTATGGTGGGCATTCCCATTCATGTATACTTGTGCGCTGGCTTTAATTTCTATGGACCAGATTCCTAGAAGTGGCTCAAAGAGCCAAAGCCATCTTGTATAACCCTGAGCAGATATCCAACTTCATTCCATTCATTCTAAAATATCCAATCATTTATTAAAATGAATGGTTTCATTTTATATTAGCACCTAACTCAGTACTATGTGGTGAATAAATAGAAGCTTTTCTATTTCAGGGGTGTTTGGTGAGCTGGATCTTCATGGATTTCCACGTTCAATATATAAAACTAAGCTCTCAGAAACTGCAGAGGCTGGTTCCAAAGTCCTATCTCTAATGGATGCTGTGGATTGGCAGGTACAGGAAATATTATGTGGTGGGAACTGAATACACACAGTGGGTCAATTTACAAAGGTTTCTTTTTTATTCTCATGCACATTTTTTTTTCCATAGGATTGATCAGATAAGAAATATATATTTTGCATTAACTTGCACTCAGAAGCTGACCTGATAGTAGGCATTTAAAAATTGGGATTTTAAAGGTCCTTCAGAATATATAAAGAACACTATCTTTAGTTATGAAAGGAAAATATGAAAGTTTCTGAATGGAAAAAAAATTTTTATGTGTGTCTTTCCCATATTTCAGGAATATCAAGTAATAGTTAATTATATTAAAAAACTGGCGGGGCGCCTGGGTGGCGCAGTCGGTTGAGCGTCCGACTTCAGCCAGGTCGCGATCTCGCGGTC